TCCGTCCAATAGACAACAATAGGCCAGGCGACATCTAGTGTATATATCTATGAGAGAAGCCAATGATGTGCTTTGGTTAAGTCACATGACATGCTGTGTTTTTCTGTAGCGTGATTCCTGACAGACTGGCGTTTATTGTGAGTAGTTGCTGAATGCAAACGTAAACGTCAATAAAAACAAAGAATCAAATTATGTCAGATCCACAAAAGCATCTGAAACATCACCTCCAGTATGTTATGATGACATATTCACAACTTATTCATTCATTCATTCATTTTCTTGTCGGCTTAGTCCCTTTATTAATCTGGGGTCGCCACAGCGGAATGAACCGCCAACTTATCCAGCAAGTTTTTACGCAGCGGATGCCCTTCAAGCTGCAACCCATCTCTGGGAAAATATTCATAACTCATTTTTTTTAAATCAAGTTAGTTTCTTAAATCCAGCATATAGGTTTATAATATCATTGTAATATTAAATATAAGGCCGTGCTTTATATAATTTAATGCTTGTGAGTGATGTTATAAAGTACACTGCCGTTCCATCCTCGGTAGTTCGTTCTTCCAAGTGTGAACTTGACAAGTCCAAGCTTTGCGTACTTTGAGAAACAGACTCTGTCTTAAAACTCTCTCTAAAGTTCACCTTGATGAACCTGCTGTTAGCGTGGCGAGTTTATTAGTTCATTAGCTGCTGTTTGCTGATCAAACACACTGAAGTCACGAGGGTTAGTTGATGATTGCAGTTTAGTTTTTAATTAAAACCTTTGAACCCTTTTAGGACAAGCAGGAGTTGTTTTTTGTGACATTATTAGGTTTAATTAAACACTTTTACCCACTTTTTCTTGCCTTCTAATTATTACAATAATTTTTTCAGTCATCAATTGCTATTTTTCACAAACAGTTAATAAGAAATGACACTAAATTAAACATTAAATTGTCTTTGTAGATCCCTGTTCATCTTTGTTTTATTGACTTCTTGGAAAGGTGTATGTATTCTAGTGTTATCGTGGTCACAGCACATTTAGTTTGGAGTTTGACACTCTTAGATCACGACCTGCTGGAGTTTAGTCCAGTTTATTAGTCTATTAGCAGGTGTTTTTGCTGAACAAACGTAATATAAAACCGCTGAACCCTTTATAGGGACAAGCAGGAGTTTTTCAACTATAACCTAATTTTAATAACCTTTAAACATTTAACTTTTAATCTGTTTTTTGTTTAAAAAAAATTTTAAATAACGAATTTATTAAAATTAGGAGAATTTGATCATTTATTTTTAAAAAACATTATATACAAATATATATTGTGTACAATATATAATATAAACACATTGTATACAATTCATTTGTATTATGCGCAACATTTTTGTGTTTACTGATATATATTTAATAAGTCCTGCACCCAAATAAATAAACTAAAACAATAATTGAGAATAAACAGTAATATATATTAATAATTATAATTTGTGTGTGTGCGTGTGTGTGTGTGTATACTGGCAAATTTATTAGATACACCTTAATAGTATTGTGTTGGACTCCCTTTTTGCCTTCAGATCTGCTTTAATCCTTCATAGCAGAGATTCAACAAGCTACTGGAAATATTCCTCAGAGATTTTGCTCCATATTGTCATGATAGCATCACACAGTTGCTGCAGATTTGTCGGCTGCACATCCATGATGCCAATCTCCTGTTCCACCACATCCCAAAGCTGCTCTATTGGATTGAGCTCTGGTGACTGTGGAGGCCATTTTAGTACAGTGAACTCATCGTCATGTTCAAGAAAGCAGTCTGAGATGATTGAGCTTTATGACATGCTGCGTTATCCTGCTGGAAGTAGCCATCAGAAGATGGAGACACTGTGCTCATAAAGGGATGGACATGGTCAGCAGCAATACTCAGGTAGGCTGTGGCGTTGATGCTCAATTGGTACTAATGGACCCAAAGAGAATCTCCCCCACACCATTACACCACCACCACCAGCCTGAACCGCTGATACAAGGCAGGATGATCCATGCTTTCATGTTGTTGAGGCCAAATTGTGAGCCGAGCATCCGAATGTGTCAGCAGAAATGGAGACTCATCGGAGCAGCAACGTTTCTCCAATCTTCTATTGTCCAGTTTTGGTGAGTCTGTGTGAATTGTAGCCTCAGTTTCCTGTTCTTAGCTGACAGGAGCGGCACCCGGTGTGCTCTTCTGCTGCTGTAGCCCATCCGCCTCAAGGTTGGACGTGTTGTGTGTTCAGAGATGCTTTTCTGCAGAGCTCGGTTGTATCGAGTGCTTATTTGAGTTACTGTTGCCTTTCTATCAGCTGGAACCAGTCTGGCCATTCTCCTCTGACCTCTGGCATCAACAAGGCATTTGCACCCACAGAACTGCCGCTCACTGGATATTTCCTCTTTGTCGGAGCATTCTCTGTAAACCCTAGAGATGGTTGTGCCTGAAAATCCTAGTGGAGCCTGTCTGACACCATCAACTTGGTTGGAAGGGCATCCGCTGCGTAAAACATATGCCGGAATAGTTGGTGGTTCATTCCGCTGTGGCAACCTCTGATAAATAAGGAACTCAGCCGAATGAAAATGAATGTATGTATTTTTAAATTTAGATTGCGGTAGATTTGACACTGAAATCAGAATCTCTCTCTGTCAGTGTGCTCTATGCAGTGATATTTCTGTGGATTATTGAAGCATATGTTCATCCATGCAGTAATATGGAGACTCTCAGAGAAAGCTGAAGTGCGTGAGCTATAAATAATCTGCTGTTTTGTACTCCACATTCTACAACCACACATATTTGTGATTTTAACTGGAGGATTAGCAGGATTACATGCAGAAAAACAGCCTCGTGCAGGGGCAACAATTCTGTCTTTAACTCTGTGATTGTTTCGAGAGAGCTTTCGTCTCGTGCTTTTAGTATGAAATAATTACAGTAAGGGAAATATAGTATTTACACTTTTTTTAATATCGGTACCTTGTTGTTTTACATTTTTCCAGAAATGTTGTGCTTTAGTCATTGTATTGGTTATTTTATAATTATTGTTTTATAGTTGTATTATAGTTTATATTGGTGACAACTTACAAATCTTTTAGTTTAGTGATTTATCTACTACTTAACTATAACAATTAACCATTTTTATTTCAGTCAAAGTGTGTTTATTTTTATGGTTGCTTTGTGGATCTGGTTAGCAGAAACTGTTGGTTTATTCTTACATTTTATATTAAAGAAACTGCTTTAGTTTTGTGGCTTTCGCATTTGTCAATCTGTAAATAAGTGTTTTTTTTGTATCAGTGTTAAAATAATATAGTTCTGATATTTTTATGAGTTTATTTTGATCTGATACGGTGCATCCGGAAAGTATTGCTATCGCTTCACTTTTTCCACAGTTGTTTATGTTACAGTCTTATTCCTAAATAGATTAAACTGATTGATTTCCTCAACATTCTACACACAATCCCCCATAATGACAATGTGGAAAAAAGAGTTTTTGAAATTGCTGCAGATTTATTACAAATAAAAGCCCTGTAAAATCAGATGTACATCAGTATTCAGCGTTTGGCGTGAAGCTCTAAATCGAGCTCAGTCAATCTGTCTCCACTGATCATTCTGGAGATGTTTCAGCAGCTTCATTGGAGTTCACCTGTGCTCAATTCAGCTGATGGACATGATCTGATCAGGCATACACCTGTCTATATAAGGGCGCAGGGTTGACAGTGCATGTCAAAGCACAAACCAAGCATGAAGACAAAGGAATTGTCTGTAGACCTCAGAGACAGGATTGTCTGGAGGCACAAGGCTGGGGAAGCTTACAGAAACATTTCTGCTGCTCTGAAAGTTCCAATGAGCACAGCGGCCTCCATCATCCGTAAGTGGAAGATGTTTAACCACCAGAACTCTTCCTAGAGCTGGCCGGCCATCTAAGCTGAGTGATCAGGCCTTAGTCAGGGAGGTGATCAATAACCTGATGGTCAGTCTGTCTGAGCTCCAGCGTTCTTCTGTGGAGAGAGGAGAACCTTACAGAAGGACAACCATCTGTGCAGCAATCCACCAATCAGGCATTTGTATGGTAGAGTGTCCAGACGGAAGACACTACCCGCCTGGAGTTTCCATCTGAAGGACTCTCAGAGCATCAGAAACTAAACTCTCTGCTCTGATGAGACTCAAACTGAACTGTTTGGAGTGAACGCCAGGCGTTACTTTTAGAGAACAGCAGGCAGCGCTCATCAGCAGGCTAACAGCATCCCTACAGTGAAGCATGGTGGTGTTGGCATCATGCTGTGGGGATGTGTTTCAGCAGCAGGAACTGGAAGACTAGTCAGGATAGAGGGAAAGATGAATGCAGCGATGTACAGAGACATCCTGAATGAAGACCTGCACAAGAGTGCTCTCCACCTCAGACTGGGGCCACGCTTCATCTTCCAGCAGGACAACAACCCAAAGCACACCGCCAACATATCAATGCAGCGGCACAACAACAACTCGGTGAATGTCCTTGAGTGGCCCAGCCAGATCCCAGACCTAAATCCTGTTGAACATCTCTGGAGGGATCTGAGAATGGCTGCACACCGTCACCTCCCATCCAACCTGATAGAGCTTGAGAGGAACTGCAAAGAGGAACGGGCAAACATTTCCAAAGACAGCTGTGCAGAGCTTGTGCATCATATTCAGAAATACTCGAGGCTGTAATCGCTGACAAAAATGCATCAACAAAGTATTGAGCAAAGACTGTGAACACTGATGAACAGGTGATCTTACAGTTTTTTAAAAAACTGTTTATTCACATTGTCATTAAAGGGGATTGTGTGTAGAATGTTGAGGAAATCAATCAATTTAATCCATTTTGGAATAAGGCTGTAACATAAACAACTGTGGAAAAAGTGAAGCGCTGTGAATACTTTCCGGATGCACTGTGTAAAAATTATTTAGATATTTTATTTATTTGTTTAAAAGAACACGTTCAGCAAATGTCCCCGCTATTCACAGAAACCTAACGTGTATGCATTTGTGTGTCAGTGTCTCCTGCTGCAGAGCGACTGCGCCACATCCTCAGGGAAGATGACGAACCCACACCGACGCTCTTCACTGAGATGGACACACTGCAGCACGAGGGAGGAGAGATGGAGTGGAAAGAGTCCGCCAGGTCACACACATATACACATATATAGACACACAAACGCACATATACACATACACTCACTCTCACACATACACACACACTCACTCTCACACATACACATATAATCACTTTCTCTTTCACACACACTCACTCATACACCCACATGCACAATCACACACACATACTCCCACACTCACTCATACACTCACAGGCACACACACACACACACACACACACACACACACACACACACACACACACACACACACACACACACACACAGTTATGTGATAAAGATACTGTAGGTCTGTAATCTAGTGTTGAACTGAGAGAGTGTGTCTGAGCCTCGGACATTATCAGGAAGGCTATTCTCGAGTTTAGGAGCCATATATGAAAACGCTCGACCTCCTTTAGTCGACTTTGCCATCCTGGGTTGTGTTATGTGTGCTGTCCAGGTGAAATGTGTAATATATGGTGTGTGTTTTGGTGTGTAATGTATCTTGTGTGTTGTGTTCAGGTGGGTGAAGTTTGAGGAGAAGGTGGAGGAGGGTGGAGAGCGCTGGAGTAAGCCGCACGTCTCCACACTGTCTCTGCACAGCCTGTTTGAGCTGCGCACCTGCCTGCAGACCGGCTGCATCTTGTTGGACCTGGACGGATACTCACTGCCACAGATTGTTGGTCAGCACACATACACACCACTAAACACACACTCCACATTATTAGATCAGCAATAAATCAGAAATACCGGCTGTTTTAAAAGAAGTTACGCATGTATGACAGTGGAATAGTGCCACGTAAAAATAAATAAGTAAAAAATAAATTAATTATATATATATATATATATATATATAGGATTACCAGATTAAAGTCGTAATATTTCAAGAATAAAGTCAAGATATAATGAGAATAATAAAAATTAAGTATGATATATTAAATATTCTATTAATAATTAAAATATGACAGTAATTGTAAAATATTTTAAGAATAAAGTTTAAATATTATTAGAATCAAGTCGAAATTTTATAATATTGAAGTCAAAGTATTATGATTATAATATTGAAATATTATGAGAATACAATTGAATTATTACAAGAATAATGACGTAAATATTATGAGAATAAAGAAGAAATATTACAAGAATAACATCAAAATATTATGCAAATAACATCAAAATATTATGCAAATAATGTCAAAATATTCTGAAAAAACTTTATATTTTTATATTAAACTTTTAATATCTAGAAATAATACTAGACTATAGTTGAAATATTAGCATCAAGTCAAAATATTAAGTTTAAATATTACAAGAATATTAACAAAATGAAGTGAAAATATTATATTAAATAAATGTAATAAATATTGTAATTATTGTAAAAAATGTTATAAAAATCAAGATGAAATATTGTCAATTAAGTGCAAATAATAAGAGAATAAAGTTTAAATATTAAGAGAAAAAAATAGAAATATTACGAGAATAATGTTAAAATATTACGAGAATAAAATTTTAAATTATGATAATAAAGTTGAAATATTACAACAATAAAATTTAAATATTATGAGAATAAAGACACAATATTACGAGAACAAAGTTGAAATATTACAGGAACAAAGACACAATATTACGAGAATAGTTGAAATATTACAAAATTTTTAAAAAAATTTTACAAGATTAAAGTTGAAATATTACGAGAACAAAATTTAAATATTAAGAGAATAAAAACACAATATTACGAGAATAAAGTTGAAATATGACAAAAATAAAATAAAAATATTACGAGAATAAAGAAATAATATTATGAGAATAATGATGCAATATTACGAGAATAAAGATAAAATATTACGAGAATAAAATTTTAATATTATGAGAATAAAAAACAAATATGAGAATAAAATTTAAATATTACAAGAATAAAGTCGGAATATTCAGCGAATAAAGTCGAAATATTACAAGGATAGTTTAAATATTACAAAAATAAAGTTGAAATATTATCAGAATAAAATCAAACTATTACGAGAGTAAAGTAGAAATATTATGATAATAAAATTAAAATATTATGAGAATAAATAAGAAAATATTATGAAAATAAAGTTGAAATATTACGAGAATAAAATGAAACTATGACAAGAAGAAAGTCTAAATATTATGACAATAAAATTAAAATATTGCAAGAATAAATTTGAAAATATTACGAAAATAAAGTTGAAATATTACGAGAATAAAATCTATATATCATGAAAATAAAGTCAAAATATTAGGAGAATAACTCCGATTCCTCTGGACTATTGTAATATATCTGGTGTTTACCTCTGCTTATCAGATGACATGATTGAGAAGCAGGTTCAGGAGGGTCTCATCGCTCCAGAGATCCGGGAGAAGGTCAGTTTCGTGCTTTTGCGGAAACACCGTCACCAAACCAAGAAGCCGATCCATCGCTCGCTGGCGGACATCGGGAAGCCCAGTCCATCCAGTGAGTGTCTGCAGGAGAATCCTCAACATTCCCACAATTCCTTTATCTTTCTCTTTATCTTGCCTTTTCTAATCATTTCTCATGCACTTCTTCGTCTGGAGTTTTCTTAGGGGCTGGGCGATTAGATAACTTTAAATCTCAATATAATTTAATAAGTAAAATTGACTAATACAACGATTTCAGATGATAGATTAAATGTTTAAAATGTTGTTGTTTTCTTAATGGCATGCACAGATGAATTATTCATTGTGAAACTAGCAATGTGAGCTAACAAAGTCAACATGGTTAGTTTTGATTTGATGTGTACTTTAATGCTAAACAAAAGAAGTGTAAATTCGAGACTTCATGCGGACTTTAAACAATTTTTCAGTTTATTTTAAAATAAAATGGTGCCAGTGTTGGACAAGTTACCTCAAAAAAAAGGATTTCATTACTAATTACATTATTAAAATTGTATTTAAATTACATTTTTAAATATTATGTTTGAAAGGAAACTCAGTAAATCAATGCATAACAGCGCTACATATAAATCTCAACTCTGCATAGACGATAGAAATTAAACTCAATAATGACTTAAACAGGACATTATAGCTTTAATAAAAATGTAACACTTTAATAAAATAAACATTATATCTATCAACACACAAAATATTTCAAAGGAATGACACAATATTTCATACAGAGCAAATATTGACATGAATTTCTGCCTCATTCATTGTGTCTCAAGCTACTCTGCTTCTCTTGACTAATTGATCTAGAAATGTTGATTTTATGTATTTAAATGAGTGCATTATAAGTAACTGTATCTGAATGACCTGAAAATGAAACGGTACCTTTTTCAGTGGGGTCATCTAATTACAGTAACGGGTTAGTTTGTTAATATTTACAATTATGTAATAATTATGGTGCACATCGCCCAGCCCTATGCTCTGTCCTGTTTTCTGTCTCTCTGATGTGTTTCTCTGCTGTGCTGTGGGTCTGCATCAGACCGCAGTCCGAGTCCCAGCCCGAGTGCCCGCTCTGGGTCGGGTTTTCACCGCTCCACAGAAGACCTGCGGGCGCGCCAGAGCGCCGGCCTCGGGAAACTGCGTGAGTCTGCGCTTCAGTTTCCACGCTTCACCCACATCTCAGTCCAAGTCTGCTCTATTGTCAATTCTGCCACATGTAGAGACAAACAGAGGATCGAAATGACATTAGTCTCAGACCTCAGGTGCATACAGATAACAACAACACTACAAGAGGAATGTAAAAATACCAATGATGTGAGCTGAGTTTACCCTTTTTACAAGATGTAAAAAAGTCTTTTGTGTCTCCAGAATTGTAGCTGTTTTGCGCCTGTGCCTTTAAATGCAAATGAGCTGGTTCTCCCCGCCCACTTTAAGTAGGTTTCCTAAGGGAATTGCAGCTGTTTTGCGCCTGTGCCTTTAAATGCAAATGAGCTGGTTCTCCCCGCCCACTTTAAGTAGGTTTCCTGAGGGAATTGTAGCTGTTTTGCACCTGTGCCTTTAAATGCAAATGAGCTGGTTCTCCCCGCCCACTTTAAGTAGGTTTCCTGAGGGAATTGTAGCTGTTTTGCACATGTGCCTTTAAATGCAAATGAGCTGGTTCTCCCCGCCCCCTTTAAGTAGGTTTCCTGAGGGAATTGTAGCTGTTTTGCACATGTGCCTTTAAATGCAAATGAGCTGGTTCTCCCCGCCCACTGTAGGTAGGTTTTCTGGGGGAATTTTAGCTGTTTTTTACCTGTGCCTTTAAATGCAAATGAGCTGGTTCTCCCCGCCCACTTTAAGTAGGTTTCCTGAGGGAATTGTAGCTGTTTTGCACATGTGCCTTTAAATGCAAATGAGCTGGTTCTCCCCGCCCACTCTACATATGTTTCCTGAGGGAATTGTAGCTGTTTTACACCTGTGCCTTTAAATGCAAATGAGCTGGTTCTCCCCGCCCCCTTTAAGTAGGTTTCCTGAGGGAATTGTAGCTGTTTTGCACCTGTGCCTTTAAATGCAAATGAGCTGGTTCTCCCCGCCCACTCTACATATGTTTCCTGAGGGAATTGTAGCTGTTTTACACCTGTGCCTTTAAATGCAAATGAGCTGTTTCTCCCCGCCCATTCTTCGGGCAGATGTCACAGATACTCCAGTGAGTCTGAATCATGAAGTTTCCCGGTGGTTAATTGATGCAGTGTAGTTGCACAAGCAGCTGAGCAGCATTTCTGCCATTGTTCTGAGGATTAGAGATTATCAGAAAGCTCTTGACTTCGGTTTTCCGCTCTTGCTTGCTTGATTTGCTTCTGGAATCTGGGTACATTAGGCCAGAAAAACAACACTTTTTTCCCCTTGTCTTTGAAGAAGATAGCGCTTCCAGCTTCCAGCTTAGTTGATCAGTTCCCCTATAGCGCATGTGTTTGGACTGGAAACCGGAGCACCCGGAGGAAATCTAAGCCAACACGGGGAGAACATGCAAACTCCACACTGAAACATTATTATAACAATTATTCCTGTTGTACCGTATAGCCGTAGTCAACGTGACCCCAAAACCTAAGTACGTACTGAACCGTGACAACATACTAACCATGCTAGAAGGGTTTGAGCAACACGTGTAACATTAAACATGTCAGGCTAGCAAAATGTTGACCATGTTATCAGCATGATAATCAATGTTGAGTTGCACATCAGGTTTTTATTATGTTTCTGTTTAGATTTACAGTGCTCAGCATATACGAGTTCACCCCTCACCAATCAAATAGGAAGCTTTACAATATTATATATGTGTGCATATACTTTAGTTTAGTCAGTACTGAAGCCAACTGTAGACCTAATCTAACAAAATAACTTTAAATAATGCTTCTAAATAATTTTTAAATATTTAATTATAAACTTTCAAAAATAGCAAAAATCAAGAGAAACAGAAATATTTGCAATTTTGTTGAAATGTTATTTATTTTGCAACATTTAGCTTGAATTTAATTGTTTTATCTTTCTATTTCTAAATATGTTTGGTGACTAAAATATTATTTTAATAAATATATCTGTTTAATAAATCTGTTTTGTTTAAATGCACCAAAATACACTGAGAAATGGAGGAAAATATTCATCTTCAAAATGGGCTGTAATGTTTGTTTGTTTTTTTAAATAAAAACTTCCCAGGTTCTGCAGGTTGCAGTGTCCTGAACTTTGCCAATTTAAGCCAATCTTAAGCCATTTGTAATCGATTGTTTTGGTTCAATTTGTAATTTTCCCAACCAGTACAGAGGCCAGGGCATCAGAGTGAGTGCTCCGACTTGGCCCCCCTGGTCCAAATGGGCTGTACTTAATCTTGCTGAGCACTGTATTGTTATTTCCTTTCATTTAGTAATTTTATTACTTGTATTAGTTTAAGTTTGGTTCAAATTTAGCATCAGGTTTGACTTTATTCCAGCTCTATGAACAGTTTAATTCAGTAAATAATCAGTGTTTGATCTGTTTTCCAGATCCTTCTCAGTGCCGCAGTATGAATGATATTTCCGTCACACCCAGCAGTGACCAGGTAGAGTTTTATATCAGTATTGTTTATTATGTCATTTTAATTACATTTTATATTTATCATTTTTTTATATTTTAAATTTATTTCAATTTTGTAAATTTACTTACATATATTTTTAATTAAATGTATTATTTTTTACAGTATCTTTTCTTTCACATAAACACTGAAATACATTTATTTATTTATTTATTTATTTATGTATTTTATTACATTTTATAAACCTATATGTTTTTTTTTATTTAATTAATTAATTTATATTTTTATTTTTTCATATATTTGTTAATATTTATTTTTTTAATTTGTATTTTATTTTTTTATTTTTTATATTTAAAGTTTTATTTAATGAATTCTTATTTATTTTTAAATATATTTTTTAAAATTATATATTGCTGTAATTTTGATTTTAATAATTTTGTATTTTTCCATTTGTTTATATTTTTTATTTATTTAAATTTTGTAAATGTATTTACATGTATATTAAATACATTTTTGATGAACACTGAACACATGAACACTGAAGTACATACATTTATTTATTATTTATTATTTAAATTTAATTACATTTTATAAAATTATATATTTTTGTTTATTTATTTATTTATTTATTTTTATTTATTTATACATTTAATTTAATTATATATATTTTTGATTATATTTATTTTATTTTTATGTTGTATTTTATCTTAATTTATTAATATAAAAAATGAATTTAATGTTTTTTTATTTATTCAATTTCAATAAACAAAACGTATTTATAAATCTTTATTTATACATTTAATTTAAATTATTATTTAGATTTTTAGTTTGATTATATTTATTTTATTGTTTTTTATGTAGTATTTTTATATAAAAATATTTTAATGTATTTTTATTTATTTAATTTTAATTACATTTTATACAATTATATTTTTTATTTATACATTTAATCAACTTATATTTTTTTATTTTTGATTATATTTTATTTACATTTTTTCATTTGTATTTTATTTTTACATTTATTCATATTTAAAATTTTAATTGAATGTATTTTTATTATTTAATTTTAATTACATTATATAAAAGTATATTATTTTTAGGTTTTTATTTATTTATATATTTAATTTCTTTTATATTCATGATTTTATTTTTATTTTTTCAATTTATGTATTTTAATTTATTTTAATTTTGTAAATTTTTAAAAATGTATTTATTTTTATACTTTTTTAAAATGAGCACATTGAAACACATCAATGTAATTGTTATTAATTAAATTTTTAATTGCATTTTATAAATTATGTATTTTTTATTTATACAAATAATTTGTTTTATATATATATATTTGTTTATATTTATTTTTATTGTATGTGTGTGTGTGTGTGTGTGTGTATGTGTGTGTGCATATATTTATATATATTATATATCTATATTTATATATTGATTTATTTATATATATTTTTTATTTATTTATTTTAATTCATTTTTTAATTATATACATTTAATTGAATAGTTTTTTACCCATATGAACACACTGAAATACATAAATGCATTTATAAATGTATTTCCTCACACCATGAGCCAAATTAGTCCTATTATTCAGGGTGTAAATTCTCTAGGTCATTCGCATGTTTACTGTGGCGGAGTTTTTGTGGATCAATGAACCAACATGAACCAAAACATGAAATGCACAATAAAGCTGTTATGTTTGCCGAGGTATTTAGAGGCGATTGAGAGGCTTTAGTGCAGGCGCTGCAACTCACTAGACTTCAAAGTGACCCAATTCTGAGTCCACTTTAATGAGTTTTTCTGCTTAAATGACACCCAGGGCTCATTTTCAGGAGCTCACTTCAGTTATACCCTACAGGAGGCTAAATTACAGCTGATAGGGGTCAAAATCATGATAATAAAAAAACACAATAACTTTTAATAATTAAAAAAACACAATAACTTTTCTCTACTACAATGTCTAAAAATTTGATGACGACATAAAAGACTCATAGTTTGGATAAAAATATGAACTAATTACTAATGTACTTATTTAAAATGAATTAATTAATGATTAAATAAACAAAAATCATGACTTAATACATAAATTAATTAATAGATGATTGAATGAGTAATTAATCGAAGGAAAAAGGGTCGAGTAAATGAGTAAGTAAACGATTGAATGAGTAAAAGAATGAATGAATGAAGAAGTAAGTAATTGACTGATTGAGTGAATGAATAGATAAGTAAATGATTGAATGAATAATGATTGATTAAATGTTTGAATGAATGAATGAATGAGTAAATGATTAAATAATTAATGATTGAATAAATGAATGAATTAATGAATGAATGAGTAAATGATTAAATAATTAATGATTGAATAAATGAATGAATTAATGAATGAATGAGTAAATGATTGAATGAATAATGATTGAGTTGATGTTTGAATGAATGAGTAAATGATTAAATGAATGAATGAATGATTGAGTAAATTATTGAATGAGTAAATTATTGAGTGAATGAGTAAATGACTGAATGAATGATTGAGTAAATGATTGAATTAATGAATGAATGATTGGGTAAGTGATTAAAATAATGAATGAATGATTAAATGATTGAACGAATGAGTAAATGATTAATTATTGATTGAGTAAATGGTTGAATGAATGATTGATTGAATGTTTGAGTAAAGAATGAATGAATGAATGAATGAATGAATGAATGAATGAATGAATAAGTAAAGATTGAATGAATAATTAAGTGGATTAATGAGTACATTATTGGATGAATGATTGAATGAATGAGTGAATAAATCATTGAATGAATGATCAATTGAGTAAATGATTGAATGAATGAATGAATGAATGAATAAATGAGTACATCATTAAATGAATAAATAAATGAAAAATGATTGAGTAAACGATTGATTGATTGATTGATTGAGTAAATTATTTAATAAATTATTGAATAAAGAAATTAATAATTAAGTAAATGATTGAATGAATGAATGTATAAGTAAATAGTTAAATGAATAAATAAATTATTGCGTAAAGGAACGAATAATTGAGTAAATGATTCAATAAATGATTGATTGAGTGAATGAGTAAATGATTGATTAAATGAATCAATAAATTATTGAATGAAGGAATGAATAATTTTGTAAATGATTGATAGATTGAATGATTGAATAAATTTTTGTGTGAAGGAATGAATAATTTAGTAAATGATTGATAGATTGAATGAATGAATAAATTATTGTGTGAAGGAATGAATAATTTAGTAAATGATTGATTGACTGAATGAATGAATTAATAAATTATTGCATGAAGGAATGAATAATTGAGTGAAAGATTCAATAAATGATTGATTAAGTGAATGAATGAATAAATTGTTGAATGAATGATGCCTTAAACCTAAATTGGATAAACAACCCATTTAAAAAATTCAGAATTGAAAAGCATTAATTTTATTGCATGAGCATCGTCAAACCAAGTGGCAGATATTAGCAGGAAAATATTTTAGCTACCATTTTATAAAAGACATTTGTTGAGTTGAAAATGAAGCTGGATGAACTTCAACTCTGGCATCATTACAAAATCAACGTTATCTTAAAGAAAAGGCCTTAGCGTTAAACACAAAAATCTGCTTCTGAAAGAGACCTGCGTGTCTGAATACATCATCGAGGCTGTTTCATTATTAATAATTGATCTGACAGAAAAGCCGAACAGCTTCAGGACAGGAGAAAGCAGCTTGTTTATCGGTGGCAGAAAGTGAGTTGACTCTGAAAGCGGCATTAAAAGATTAAAAGGCGATTCTGAGCATAAGCACAGGCCACTCCATATCCACGTGTTCTCTGAAGCCTCATAGCTGTGTGTTTACGTAACTTTATCGATCCGCCATTGGAAAAAATGAGACGTTTCCATCACACGTCAGAGATTGATCACAGAGTTGATGTTGGTGTCATGAGAGCGGCTGGAAACTTCATGAGCTGTGCGTCTTATAAAAGGAACAGTTCACAAAAGGATAAAGATGACCCCATTATTGACTCCCCCTCACGCCATCGTGTGTGTATATGACTTTATTGTCTGTCAAACAAACACATTCAGAGTAGTTGTACATTTTCTTGGCTCTTTCATGCTGCACAGGGGTGGTTTTGGGTAGTGACTTTGCAAAACCACATAAATCCATTGTACAACTAGCACATATGGCGCCAGGGGGGTATCCCTCGTCTTAAAACTAGGGTTGGGTATCGTTTTTTTTTTTTCCGATAACAGTGCTAAATCGATACTTTTAAAACAGTACAGGTGCTAAAACGGTTTTTTAGCCACAAAATTAATCGACAAAAAAATATATATATATATCATTATAATTGAACAATATAAATATATATTTATATTAGGTTTAAAGTAAACATCTATTCAGATTTTCATTTCATTTCATTTTTTTTTTATTTGAATTGCATTAATATATTTCTTTTGATCATTTGTTTGTTAGCATAAATACAAGATTTGCATTATGCTGTTAACATTACATTAGCTAACCAGTGGAAAGGCTGTCATCAAAATCAGCAAACACCTTTTTTTTTTGAGGCTTGTGACTGCTTTTACATGGACGTCAGTAATCGAATGATTTGCCTTAATCTGAATGAGACAATAATATGAAGCTGCTTTTTGAATGTTACATTCATGATTCCCAGTGACATGTTATAGCACATAGATCCATCAACTTCACTGCGTCACCAGCCTATAAATGTTTCCTCCGCAGTTTGTGTCTGTGGTCCTTCAAGATAATCAAAAATCACTGTTTACGTGGTAGATTCTTGATCAGTCAGAGCAGGGGTTTTCAAACTTTTTCAGCTGAGGGCCCCTTTGTGTAGGGCGAATTCTTTTGGGGACCCCCCAAAAATAAAAATGACGCCAAAAAACAAACAAAAAAAAACTCAAATTAACAACTGTACTTAAATTTTTTTTTTATTGTATTATTTAATACATTTATATTATTATATATTATTCAATAAATGTATATTATTCATTTTCTGGATTAATTTTTGTAAGATGTTAGTTGAGTTGACATGGTTTCAGTGCTTCAATCTATTGATCAAATCTTCAAGCGCAGTGTTCATTGTGGTCTGCTCTCACTGGATTCCATCAAGACATATTTTGTGTACGAGTCGTCACTTTACACAGTTTTTTATGCCATATTTATGCTTTTTTTCTGCCTATGCACAGCTAGACTCTTCTGTATTTACCCTTACAGCTGAGAGTCTAAATGTATCTAAAGATTTAAAGCTTTGAAGTTTTAAAGAGTTTTGTCATTCATCAGCCTGTTAATGGTTAACAGTTAACTCTACTGTTGTAACTAGCAATACTACAATAGAGGCTGTAGTGGTTCAGTGTGTTTTGTTTGTTTTTATTCCTTTTTTTGTGCACATCATAATTTACTCGACTCGATTAGGTCGACAATCCTGACTTACACTGATAAAAAATAATTTCCTAAATGCGATCTAGAATTGGGTATTCAAGTTCAAAGAGCCACAAGTTTTACTTTGCATAATTTTAGAAGCTTTGCTGACTTTAAAATGTGCATACCAGTGTGTTCTATTAATAATACTGAACATTACATTTAAATTAGTTACACAAATAAATATGGGGAAAAGTGGATTAACATCTTGAAAAAATGCATTTACATTCAGAGTATTAAAGTTTGATCAGATATGTTGAGCTCCATTAAATACAGAGCACTAATATGTTTTAATATTTAATAATTAATTAGCTCTATAATATAACACAAACAGATACATTATAATTCTTATAGGTTATAGGGGTTTTACTCAGGGTGTATACAATTTAGTTTTTTTAATCATTATGAACCAATGTAAGAGGTCCACTGCAGAGCTCATCCAGCTGTCATTAGTGTAACAGGAGTGAAACTCTGAGCACTCGCTGATGTGATGACAGCTCCATTCATTGTTATTGCAGCACTTTTTGCTTTACAATTTTAATATGTTTGTTTGCCATGCTGCAAAGAGGACCGTCTGATATTTGTACAATGCAAAGTGTAAAGCCTATCGCACTGTGGACGAGGTGCAATGTTGTGCCGTGTCTTTAAAATGCTATTTGTTCCCTATGAGTGAAGCCTGCGCAGAGAGGCGCACTCCGCAGCACCCAGCTGATCGCTTACTTATCAACGCAAGCCATATACAGGGAAGTGCTTTCAGCCACCGATAATGTTCTTATTGATCATGTATTTTAACTGAAATATTGTCAGTTAAATAGACCTAAGCATTCATTTAGTTGCTTAGCGTAAAAGAGATAAGCACCCGGCCAGAAGCGCTTGTTCAATAAAAGTCCCCGTGCACAGAGGCACGGCGCGGCACTTCTTTTCCTGTGTCACGAAAGTGTAAACTGCATTTAAATTACATAAGCATAAAGCTTAATTTTTGCAGTACTTTTGAGCTCAAATTATAAAGAAATACATTAACCTTCAGAAAGATGCGGGACACAAAATTCATCCATGTGGGCCCATTGATTACCCCTCATCTAAAATTTCTTTGCGGCCCTCCTAGCGCCACCTGGCGGCCCCCCAGGGTGCCGCGGGCACGGTGGCCCAGTGGTTAGCACTGTTGCCTCACAGCAAGAACGTCACTGGTTCTAGTCATTGCCAAGCCAGCCGACCTTTCTGTGTGGAGGTAACACGTTCTCCCCGTGCTCATGTGGGTTTCCTCCCACCGTCCAAAAACATGCAGCCTAAGTTAATTGACTAATCCACATCAGCACCATAGACATGCTCCTAGTCAGTAGTTATCTCTCAAGAGCGATCACTATCTGCTCATTAGCTACTACAGCAGGGGAGTTCTCCAGATCTACCTGAGCTCAAACTCCCCTCTCGCCTTACAAACAGGAGGTAGCCCTGGGCTCGAGGATCTTATGAGCTCAGGGCTCTCTCCCGGGACAGCATGATGAACAGGGTTTATAATCAATCAATCAGCTAAGTGTGAACTCCTGAAATGTAATTAAATGTGGTATTTTCATGTCGTGTTTCTACAGGTGGTTTGTCAAGCCCACTCACTCAAAATAAAATTCAAATGTGTGACTGTAGTGTTATTTCTCCCTCCAGCTGAAGAATAAGTTCATGAAGAAGATCCCCAGAGATGCAGAGGCGTCCAATGTGCTCATCGGAGAGGTGGATTTCCTAGACAAGCCTTTCGTGGCGTTTGTTCGTCTGGCTCAAGCCGCTACACTAGGAGGCCTTACTGAAGTGCCAGTGCCAACCAGGTGAACATGTAAAACCATATTCATTCATTTTCTTGTCGGCTTAGTCCCTTTATTAAACCAGGGTCACCACAGCGGAATGAACCGCCAACTTATCTAGCAAGTTTTTACGCAGCGGATGCCCTTCCAGCCGCAACCCATATCTGGGAAACATCCACACACACTCATTCACACACACACTCATACATTACGGACAATTTAGCCTACCCAATTCACCTGTACTGCATGTGTTTGGACTGTGGGGGAAACCGGAGCACCCGGAAGAAAACCCACGCGAACGCAGGGAGAACATGCAAACCTCACACAAAAAATGACAACTGAGCTGAGGATCGAACCAGCAACCTTTTTGCTGTGAAGCAACAGCACTACCTACTGCGCCACTAACTCACCCTGTAAAACCATATGAAAAAAATTATTGATTACAAACTACTAGGGATTAAGGGTGGAGCCGAACCCGAATACGGTATTCGGAAAGGCACGAATAGCGTGTTTTTACGAATACTTCATTCGAACAAATACTTGAAAAATTATTTGTATTCGGGAGCAAGAAAAACACTATATCAAAAAGCAGCGTTTCCTCATAGCGTTTCCTCATGAGACCACAGTGCATGCCCGCGTGAGTGAGAGAGAGAGAGAGAGACAGAGAGAGAGAGAGGTTGAATAATACTTTAATTTATCAATTGCTTACATTGCCAATTAAAAAAACATATCAGATATATTCAAAAACATACAAAATTTAAAAATTTAACACCAAGAGATCATCATGTACAACACATAGAGCCTCATTAATACACCAGCATTCATGGAACCCAGCTACATTATTTGTTAAGTTGTAATACGCAAATTCAATTTTTATTCTCGCTGTCACCAAATACAGAAACATAACTTCAGGATCAGTTGCCATCAAACCCATACCTTTATTTTTCCTAGTTTTCCATATTGCTAATTTTGCTGTACCTAATAAATAATTCAATAAACATACTTTCCTTCTTTTTATAAACCTATATTTCAATCCACCTATAAATAGTTTATCTGAGAAATCTTCTTCAAACCTCTGAAACCATATTCTAAGTAATTCAAACAAATTACCTAGTCTTTTACATTTTAAAAACAAGTGCTCTAAATCTTCTCCCTCGTCACAAAACCAACACTGCCCACCCACTGCTGGATTTAGGTGTGCCACATGTCTGTTTGTAGCTATGGCTCCATGAATAATCCTCCACTGTAGATCAGCAGTTCGTTTTTCTACAGGGAGTTTATACAAGGTCCTCCACCTGTCTCTTACAAGGAAATCTGGATCCAACAATCCTCTCCATTTTGAAACTTTTTGTCTCCTTAGTGACTTTTGGTGTACTACTTTCACTGTTGCATAGTATAGTGCTTTTTTTGAAGTATTATCTAGATTATGGAGTTGAGGAGTCTCCAAATTTAATATTGAGTCCGTGGTTTCTTCTTGATTCTCATCACAAATTTGCAAAGAAATGCCAATCCTTGGAAAATCTTTAGTGTCACTCCAGTCTGATAACTTTTCACTTGTTATGATTTTTCCATAAAAGTTTTGTAATGCCGCAGTAATTTCTGTTAAAAATTGTCCCGCAAGTCTTTTTGATTTTAAACCAGTCACTTCCATAATGGTTTCCACAGATTTCCATGTCTTATTATTCATTAGGTGTCCCAGCTTCACAATCCCCTTCTTTAGCATACAAACTTGTACACTTACTGAGGATAAAAGTCTAGTTTGAATCATGCTATTAAAAAACAAAGGTTCTTCAGGAGCCCAGTGTATGAAATTGTCTTTGTCTCTTTCCACCTTTAAAACATTACGCCACACACAAAACATCTTCTGATAAAAACTTGAAATTGTAGACAAATCCATATCTTCCAATCTCATTAAAAACAGGTGTTTATCTAATCCAAGTCCACCTGCCCTTTGTAAAATGGCACATGTTGTGGGTGTCCATAACAACTCTTTGTGATAAAGAAATCTTTTTACTGCTTGTAGCCTAAAAGCTTGAATGCGAGATTTAACATCCACTAGTCCATGACCTCCCTCGCACACTGGTAAAAAAATGACTGATGCCCGGACCCAGTGTTCACCACTCCAAAAAAAATTGACCAGCTTCCTTTGTATTTCACATATAATATCTTCCGGTGGATCCAAAACTATACATCTGTGCCACAGTGTAGAGGCTACCAGATTATTGGCAACTAAAACTCTCCCCCTGTATGACAACTGTGGTAATAGCGGTTCCCATTTAGACAATCGGGCAGATACCTTATCCAGCATACCCTCCCAATTCTTCATTCGATATTTATCACTACCAATAAAAACTCCTAAAACTTTAATCCCATCCTTACCCCATTTTAAACCCCCTGGTAACTTTGGATATCCCACCTCATTCCACTGACCCATAATATACCCCTCACTTTTCTCCCAATTTACTTTGGCTGAAGATGCTTTTTCATAAGTTCTAATATTCTTATTTAAACTTCTAATGTCTTCCTGCCCGGTGATAAATACTGTGATATCGTCTGCATAAGCAGATAAGACCTGTTTTACAATTTCACCTCCATTTTTATATACAACACCATTTAAATCTTTCCTAAGTTTGAGTAAAAGAGGTTCAATCATTAGACTATATAGCTGTCCAGACAATGGGCAGCCTTGTCTGATTCCTCTTCCAATAGGTACTTGTGCACTCAAAGCCCCACCAGCCTTAACCATTATAAATACATTTGAATACAACAGTTTTATATATGATAAAAATTCTTCACCAAACCCAAAGTTTTTTAAAACATTAAAAAGATAGCCATGGTCCACTCTATCGAAAGCTTTTTCTTGATCTAATGATAAAACACCAAGATCCTTACTTGTAAGATGACTAAAATCAACTACATCTCGTAACATAAAAATGTTGTCATTAATTGACCTATCTGGGACACAATATGTTTGATCATTCTCAATCAGGAATTGTAAACAATGCATAATTCTATTTGCTAGACATTTTGACAAAATTTTGTAGTCCAAACATAATAATGACACAGGTCTCCAGTTTTTCAATAAACATAAATCCCCTTTTTTTGGTAACAATGAGAGAACTGCACGTCGACAACTCAAAGGAAGCAACTTTTCTTTAAAACAGCTTAAAAATACTTCATATAAATCCATTCCGATTTCATTCCAAAATTGTCGATAAAATTCAACCGGCAGTCCATCTATTCCCGGAGACCGTCCATTAGACAATTGCTGCATTGCCTCAGTTCTTTGAAAGTAATATCTCTGTCCAACAACTTTTTTTGTTCATCTGGTAATCTTGGCAAGTTCTCGAGTAGTTCTTCCGCACTTTTAATGTCACATGGTTCCTTACTATATAATGTTCTATAAAAATCAACAGCCATCTTTCGTATTTCCAATGTATCAGAAGTAATAGTCCCATTTTCCCGGCGCAGATGATGTATCTGTTTCTGTTGAGCACTTTTTTTTTCTAAGTTGAAAAAGTAAGAACTGGGAGCATCCATGTCTTTAATGGAACAAAATTTTGCTCTTATCATTGCTCCTTTTGCCCGTTCATACAAGAAAGATCCAAGTTCTGCTTTTTTCTTTTTCAAAAAGTCTTTCTGCACATTTCCAGGATTATCCATAAGTTCTTTTTCAAGCTGCACAATGTCTTTTTCCAGTCTTTGTATTGTTGTCTTAATTTGTAAGGAAGAGTTTAAAGTATAGTTCTGGCAAAAAACTCTTATCTGTGCTTTGCCCACCTCCCACCATTGACTAAGGCTTTCAAAAGAATCCTTTTTCATTTTCCATTCATTCCAAAATAATATAAATCTCTCACAAAACAAAACATCTTGTAGTAATTTTGTATTAAAATGCCAATAATATGCACATCTTGACGTTTTTGTCATATTAAGTTCTAAACCAATCATATGATGATCCGAAAAAGCAGTAGGGGAAATAAAAGCCTTTATAACCCTGTTGTTCCATATTTGTCCCACATAAAAACGATCCAATCTTGCACCATGTACCATATTATCTGTCACTTTAACCCATGTATACTGTCTTTCCTCTTTATTTCTTAATCTCCATATGTCTACTAACCCATTTTTCTTCATTATTCTGGATAAAACTAAACTAGATTGATTATGAGGTTCTTCACCATTTCTATCAACAGTAAAATCTGTTGTACAGTTCCAATCTCCACCTAAAACAATACAAACACCTTCTTCTACTCCTTTTAAAAACTCATTTAATTTCATAAAAAAACTCACCCTTTCCGACCCATTATTTGGGGCATAAACATTAATAAAACCAAACAAAAAGCCTTCAATTTCTATTTTTGTATACAAGATCCTACCTTTTTCAATTTCTTTTACTAATAATATATTAGCATTTAAATTTTTGGAAATTAATATTGCAACTCCTGCACTATTATTTGATCCATGACTCAAAAAAAGTTTTCCACCCCACCACATATCCCATTCTATTTCGTTATCACAATCAGAATGTGTTTCCTGTAAAAAGGCAACATTAATCTTTTTTAATTCTAGAAATTCTGAAATCACTGCCAACTTTTTCCTATCTCTACCCCCATTAATATTTAAGGAGCCTACCCTCAATTGCTCCATAAATAAATGAAAAAAAAGACAGGACAGAAACAGAGCCAGAAACCAAAAAAAGATAGACACCCTGTGCAGCCTATACATTTTTTACTTCTTTAATTTACGAGGTTTTCCTTTGCGCAGTTTTGTTAAATGCTTTCTCAACCGAAATCTCTTCTGCTTACTCAACTCATCAAGGCTTACTGTTTTCTGAAGCAACACAACCGAAGCAATAAATTTATCCACATCTGGGAAAAAATCCTCAACCTCAATCACTTTTCCAAAAGTTTCATCTAGAAAATCATTTATTTCCTGTAATGTATACAATTCTCCCATAACCTGGGGACCAAAATCTGAAATATCTGAACAAGCATCATCATCCATAGTCTCATTGTCATTATTCATTTCAAGACCTTGTGAATTTTCAAGTTGTTGCTCAATTTCTTTTTCTTCAGTCATTGTCTCTACACCTGCTCCACTACTTTCTGCCACAATCTCGTCATCATCATCATCATCATCGTGTCTCGCTATTTCTTCGACTGTATTGTTCTGGTTTATGGAAACCACAGGCCCGTCATCAGTTCTAACACTACCACTGTTACTATCAGCAACATCACCATCATGCGTTTCATTCACAACTCGGGGTTGTTCCTCCACTACATTTGTGTTAATATCACGGTCTCTGTCAACAGAATGCTGTTCTATATTTTCATCAGCCTGCACTTTATGAGGGCATTTGGCTTTTTTGTGTCCTAAATCTCCGCATTCAAAACACTTTAAACTTCCAGTGCTAGCGTACAGCAAAAAAGATTTCCCTTCATGCCACAGTCTAAATGAAACGTTCAGCTCTGGTTCATTCAGGAACATAAAAACTTGCCGTCTGAATGATAACACGTGCTTTAAAGCCTCATTTTTGCATCCAAGAGAAATCATTCTAATTGGACTAGCCAACTTTCCATAACTTACAAGAGCTCGTTCAATTTCAGCATTCTTTATGAACGGTGGCACGTTTGATATCGTTACACGCGTTGTCGGCGTGACAAGCGGTGAAACAGTGATATAAGCGCCACTTACCTCAACACCCGTGCTTATCAAGTGATTCACCAAGTTTTCTTCCTTCACAAAAATAACGATTGCCTTATTCATGCGGGATGCAGAGCAGATATTTTCATATCCTATTTGCTCTCCGGCTGCCAACAGTACATCCTCCACGGTCACTCCAGGTTCAGCCATACACCTGACACCGTGGCGGAGAGATAGAGACGCCGCGCCCTCCGCAGGTGAGGAGGCCATCTCTTCTCTTCTCCGCCACACCAAAACTACAAACAATAACTTTTTACTTACGTCTTCAATCCACTTTACTTTCGTTTATCACTTTAATAAGAAAAAAAAAGAAAGAAAAGGGGGGAAAATCAGACGCCCTCTCACCGTGTTCACCCTCGCACGCACCCGTACACTCCCAGCATGCACCGAGAGAGAGAGAGAGAGAGAGAGAGAGAGAGAGAGAGAGAGAGAGAGAGACACACACACACACACACACGCTCAGTGCAAAACGCGCCAAAGCCCGAAACTGAAAGCGAGACGTGACTTTTAAGGGGTTGTTTCATATGGATTTATTAACCATTCTTACTGTTCAGTGAACACAAACTGCTGTAGTTTATTAAAGACGCAAACCTCTCACTGCACGTCAGCTGCGCGCCTTCAGCAGACCTCCTCATTCCTGCAGCACGAGAGCTTTATGATTGTTTATGCGCGCCAAAAGTGGCGGATCTGTCCGGTAAAATATCTGACTGCGTGTCCCCGCATCCCTAAGGACTGTTTGGCGAAATATTTGACTGCATGTCACTGCATAACAAACGACTGAAAGGATATAACTAGAGAAATCTCCACTGTGCTACTGGGTGAAAGCGTATGGCAAGCTGTTTTAGCATTTAAACCTTGTTCAGACTATCCATAAATATATTTAGAGATATCTCTAATTATATTTTGACTTGTCATAATTATAATTCGACTAGTCAGATTGGAAATATCTGCAAATATATTATGACTAGTCATATTCCTCCATTGACTTCCATTGAAAAATATTTGCAGATATTTAAATAAACAAACAAACAAACTTTGTGTCTGTTTTGTGGCAGGCAGATGACAATAGCAGGGCTGTATCTTTTAGTATTACATAGAATACTTTTGTTCTGCCAGATCTCCCAGGCAGGGTTTTATTTAGATTTATTTAGTTAATATTAGTTTTTGGAATTATGTCTATTGGAAAGAAGTTCTTTCAGAAGAAGAACAGTTTTTTGAAGTATTATTTGTTTTTATTCTGTCTATTCAGTGTCCTTCAACAAGAACGGTGGTGGTGGGGTTCATAATATTCACAATGGTATTTTATTAGTTGTTGGTTTAACCATGGATGAGATAATGGCTTCTATGTTATTTTCTTTTCAATGACATTTCTTATCACATGTTCAAAAACAACAGCCAATATTGCATATCTATAATTTATATTATGGGTATAATTAAACAATACTTTCACTATAACGTAAATTAGAAGTGCAATAGAAAAAATATATATTTTTGCGCCATTTTGAATTTTACTCGAATACAAATACAAATACAAATACAAATACAAATACAAATACTTTTCCCCCCTCAACAAATACAAATACAAATACTTTTCCCCCCTCAACAAATACAAATACAAATACCGGCTGCTCCGCACATCCCTACTAGGGATGTAACGGTATCAGAATTTCACGGTACGGTAATACCTCTGTATGAATGTCACGGTACGGTATTTATTAAATCATTTACAGGGAAAACAAAACTTATGAAAATACTCCAAAAAAGTGCCAAAAGTGTCAATGACATACAAATTAGTCATCTATCTGTAAGCTTTAAAACAGGAACTTCAATTTTAATAACAAAAAAATATTAAACCATGTAAAAAAATAAAGATCAATTTAGTAGTGTTGAAAACTCATCACATTCAACATTTAATCACTCACTCACTTAGATAGAGATGGGTTTAAAGGAAAATTATCATATAACTATAATCTGGTAAAAGCTGGTATCTCTGGGTATTTACAATGTCCCCTGCAACAGAAAAAACCCTCTCATTTGGGACTGAGGATTCTGGGACAGGAGAGATATGACTTGGCCCAGGTTGACAGCAGTGGGTAACGCTGTGCATTGTCTTTCCCCCACTTGAGAGGACAAACCATGAGTGAGATAGAGGTCTCTTTGCGGTACACGTCAATGTCTGCATCAATCTGAACAGTGTGCTGTGTTTCTGCAGTCCCCATGACTGTTATTAGTCGTATTCCCCGACTTGCAGGCACGTGCACACATAGGGCTCAACCTGTGCAGTGCACATGCCCTTTTTAGTCTTGGATAGAAAATGCCCTTCCAAAATGATCAAAAGTGCCCCCGTGACGCGACACACCCTCCGTCCCGCCCTTCAGTAGGCGCGCGACAACACCGCTTTTGAGTATGCGCTCTCAACCCCCCCTCCCCGCTTTACAGTACGCGCGCGTCAACACCAGCTTTAGGTTCGATCATTTCCAGCTCTTTTTCATCCCCGCTTCTAGCAGCACACTCCATTTCCGCATTAGACCGCAAAAGATGATGGCCACGCCTCGGCTGATGGGAATTGTAGTTTTTCGCTACCTCCCGTTCGCTTCATTCGCCTGAGCAAATTTTCTCAGAAGACCTATAGTTTTACCGAGTCATGCGACTACGGTAATATCGAAAAAAATTAATATTGCAGTATGACGGTATTTACAATACCGTTACATCCCTACAAACTACATAATAAAAGTGTAGTTGTGTAGTTGGATTTTATAATCTAATTTGAATCCTAAACAGATCAGCCATGTTTTATCCACCGATTTGTATGCACATTTTGGAATATTGCATAAAACATGATTAATAGAAATGCCAATATTTGCATAAATTTGCATACACAATAAGAAAAGAAGAATCAGCCTTCCTGGGAAAGTCTATGCCATGGTACTGGAGAGGAGGATCTGGCTGATGGTTGAACCTAGGATCCAGGAGGAAAAACGCAGTTTTCGTCCGGCCTATGGTACACTGGACCAGCTCTACACCCTCACCAGGGTGCTCGAGGGCTCATGGGAGTATGCCGAACTAGTCCACATGTGTTTTGTGGACTTGAAGGCTTTCGAAGGGTGGTAGGGCGCAGCCGTTCAGACAGGGTGAGGGGCTCTGACACCCGGGAGGAGGTCAGAGTAGAGCCGCTGCTCCTCCACATTGAGAGAAGTCAGCTGAGGTGGCTCTGGCATCTGTTTTGGATGCCTAACAAGAGAGGTGTTCCAGGCATGTCCCCCCGGGAGGAGGCTTCGGGGAATACCCAGGACTTGCTGGAGGGACTATGTCTCTCGGCTGGCCTGGGAACGCCTTGCCTCCGGGTTTCCTCCACAGTCCAAACACATGCGGTATTGGGGAATTGATGAACTAAACTGGCCGTTGGGTATGAATGTGTGTGTGAATGTGAGAGTGTATGGGTGTTTCCCAGCACTGGGTTGCGGCTGGAAGGGCATCCGCTGCGTATAACATATGCTGGAATAGTTGGTGGTTCATTCCTCTGTGGCGACTTCTGAAATAGAGACTATGCCGAAGGAAAACGAATGAATGAATGAATGACTATTCCTATTTGATAATGATTTGTTAACCAAATTATAACAAGCTGTTTACATTTCATTTATTGTGTTTCAGCAATACAGTTCTAACATTTATAATGTGTTTGGAAATGATCCTCTGAATTTAAATACATTTTAATGCATTTTTGTGTTGTGGTGTATTTTGCAGGTTTCTCTTTGTGCTCCTCGGTCCCAGCGGCAAAACCAAGTCCTACAATGAGATCGGTCGGGCAATGGCCACGCTCATGGTGGACGACGTAAGAGAAAATTGCAGCACTTCTGTAGACCGCTCAGTTTAGGCTTCATAGCTGTATTTATGAGCAGGGGTGCGTTCTTCATATGTGGATATCTTAGCTAAATTTGCACATATAGAAATCTGATATATCAAAATATCTAGTTAACATGACATGTTACAGTATAAGTCCATGTTTAGATTTCACATATATATAAAAAAAATGTCATATGTGCAACATGTATTTTGAAATAATGCAGAAATGTCTGCTTGTATAGTTTTTTTCAACCACTAGAATGACAAATATGTATGTTCATATATGTTATAATATATTATATAAATATTATGTAAATACAATAAACATATTTTATAACATATAAAGGTATAGCTAACATATATTCAAATGTGACATTCCATTGGTTAGAAAAATTGTGCATATATATATATATATATGCATTCAGAAAGTATTGTTAGCACTTCACTTTTTCCACATTTGTTTATGTTACAGCCTTATTCCAAATTAAATTAAATTAATTTATTTCCTCATTATTCTATATGCAATCCCCTATAATGACAGTGTGAGCTCTAGATGGAGCTCAGGTTCATTCTGTCTCCACTGATCATTCTTGAGATGTTTCAGCAGCTTCATTGGAGTTCACCTGTGCTCAATTCAGCTGATGGACATGATCTGAAAAGGCTACACCTGTCTATATAAGGGCGCAGGGTTGACAGTGCATGACAAAGCACAAACCAAGCATGAAGACAAAGGAACTGTCTGTAGACCTCAGAGACAGGATTGTCTGGAGGCACAAGGCTGGGGAAGGTGACAGAAACATTTCTGCTGCTCTGAAAGCTCCAATGAGCACAGCGGCCTCCATCATCCGTAAGTGGAAGATGTTTAACCACCAGAACTCTTCCTAGAGCTGGCCGGCCATCTACGCTGAGTGATCGGGGGAGAAGGGCCTTAGTCAGGGAGGTGATCAATAACCCGATGGTCACTCTGTCTGAGCTCAAGCGCTCTTCTGTGGAGAGAGAAGAACCTTACAGAAGGACAACCATCTCAATCCACCAATCAGGCATCTGTATGGTAGAGCGGCCAGACGGAAGACACTCCCCGCCAAAAGGCATTTAATCCAATTTGGAATAAGGCTGTAACATAACAAATGTGGAAAAAGTGCTATCAATACTTTCCGAGTGCGCTGTATATGTGTAAATGCAATATTTAAAAAATGTCTGATTGCACCTTTTAGATACAAACGTGTACTTTGAAAAGACTTAGTTCAGTTTCTGAGAGTGTGTGATGATAGCACAGCCAATATAATCAGCAAGAGTTTTATTTGTAAAAGAATAAATAAACAATCCACAGAAGTCATGCTCACAGCTATTATACAGGTGATGCAGCACAGGAGAGAAACACTCAAATATCACAATGCTTTTTTGATGCAAAATGAATGTAAACAGCCAGTCATGCTATAACCATAACCTGGATTACTGTCACATAGAAAACGTAAAAGATTGCTAAATACTATACTCACACATAAAAAAAAAGTTTAATGCCTGTAGAAACATGGAAAGTTATTGCGAATCATTTTAAAACCGTTTCATTTGCTACAAATTTTAGGTCATTTTGTTCACGTGACTGGTAATTGAATGTTACTCAGTTGATGTCTCAATTTCAGCCAATCACTGCATTGGTAATTATTATTTTGAGAATGGATAGATCCTCCTTTCACAACAAACATGAGCACATTTAGTAATTTCAGATTAATCCATCCTGGTATTTTAATCTGACTCGGGAACTTGAAAAACCAAATTATCCAGATATCACTTATCAGGATTAAAAGATCGAGGATCTGCTGAATCATCTCAGATTATTTAAGCGAGTTATAAAGGATGGGCCGCAGCTGTGTGTGTGTGTTTTTTATCTTCAGCTGTTCAGTGACGTGGCCTATAAAGCCAGAGATCGAGAGGATTTAATCGCCGGGATCGATGAGTTCCTGGATGAGGTGATCGTTCTTCCTCCGGGCGAATGGGACCCCAAGATCCGCATCGAACCCCCCAAAAAACTGCCTTCAGCAGAGATGAGGTACCAGAGCAGCTAGTGTGTGTGTGTGATAATACTCATGAGCCTGGCCAGAGTGCTGTTTTTCTTTTAGGTTATTGATTGCTTTATTCATAAATAAATGTTAAGATTTAATGTCATTATCTTTAAAAAATCTTTACACAGACATCCTGTCAAGAGTGAGCTCCTCCACAATGTCGTCTGTAGCTTAAAGGGCACCTTTTATGCACAAATCCCTTTTATAAGGTGTTTAAACACAGTTGTGTGTCAGCAGTGTGTGAATATCTCCAGCCTCTGCTGGTCAACATGACTTAATTGGATTTGTTATAATCAGACTTGATGAATGAAACACTGTGATTGACATTCTCGCTTTGTACGTGTCATCAGAAGGGGAAAGCCCCGCCTACTATTGCCCATCTCTCCATCTCATTAGCATCTCCAGCAGCCCTGAGTGAGAAGCAGCCGTCTGTCCATTCGCCATTAGAGTGTTTGAGCTGCTGAAGATGATGTCAGCATAGACTAAGAGGATTATAGATGTGGAGTTCTAGATGAACAGTGACAGGAGCCACATAGACTGACAGCACACTCTCACACTGACAACATCGCTTTATTTCTAACATTTAAAAAGTGAAAAAGCATAATCGGTCCCCTTTAAAAGCACAACACAACAGATACGCAGTTTATTAGCCCTCAGAGAGCGATTGACGTTTGCTGAGCTGGTTTTGTTGTGTTGTTTTCTGCAGGAAGTCTGTGTTTTCTCTGAATGAGCTCGGGCAGCCGAATGGAAACGCCGGCGGAGGATCAGCGTCTGCAGAAGATGAGGAGATGCCGGCTCCGCATGAGCTGGGAGAGGAGCTGAAGTTCACCGGCCGGTACATCAACACTACACCTGCTGATGTACACCGCTAGCATCAGCATAACAGCAGCTCTGCAGACTCTTGACATTATTTACACTGTTTGCAGAGTGTTTGTAGAGCGTTACGGATGCAATGGCTCCAAAACAAGAAGGTTTCTAGGAAGGGTGTTTGGATATAACTCAGTTTTTTGACCAAAAAAATGTTATTATTCTTCATTCATTCACTTGCTATAAATTAGAACTGAAGTTTTGAGGCAAATCTTTGCTGTTAAAAATCTGTCATGTAAATAGTGAACGTGCCATTGCGCAACACAACTCACTCTTAAAGGGAATGGGAGATGAAATTCTGTTTTAATGCATGTTTAATGCCCAAAAGACACCCCATAACTCATTAAGAAAATATGACAACTGGTTTAGACCAGGCGCCTGGTGCACAGACAGCTTTTACCACCCTTAAAACAGCAAAATGGACTTAGACATGCTCTAAGTGAAACTGCGTCATGTGTTTCAGACCCTGCACTTAACTTGTTAAAATAGAGCTCTGTATGTGTTTGAGCAGGTTCTGTGGAGGACTCTGGCTAGACATCAAGCGGAAAGCACCCTGGTTTTTCAGCGATTTCTATGAAGGTTTCCACATCCAGTCGGTGTCCGCGGTGCTCTTCATCTACCTGGGCTGCATCACCAATGCCATTACTTTTGGGGGACTATTGGGGGACGCCACCGACAACTACCAGGTGCTGTTTTCATATACAGTGCACAGCATAAACGAGTCCACCCTTCACAGATCTCTCTTTATATTAAAAGTTTCTACAAGATCATTTTGAGCTTGGATGATGGTTCTCTTACTAAAATTAAAAAATCTTGGGAAAATGAATTGGGAATATGTTTTGAGGAAGAATGGTGGCTTGGTGCGCTGCAGAGAATACATTCTAGTACAATTTGTGCTTGGCTTAGTCTGATACAGTTCAAAGTAGAGGTCTGCATAAATTTCCGAATAAATCGCGGGAGCGGTCGGTAACGGGTTTAATTTGGGACGGGAGCAGGCTGTCTAGCAATATCGTGGATATTGCTATGCGAATGAGAGAGAGAGAGAGAGAGAGAGAGCTTTGCCTGTGTGTGTGCTTGGTGCTTGTGTGTGTGTGTGTTAGTGCGCGCGAATGAGAAAGAGAGAGAGAGCTTTCCCAAATAGCAAAATACACTCGGGCCAGTTCCGGCTAGATTCTCGCCTGCCGGAGACTTACCACTCGGCCCGGCTCCGGCTGCCTCCGGCTCCGGACAATGCTTGTGGACTCACTGCCTGATTCCGGCCCGAATCAATCGGGCCAGATGCGGCAGCCGTAAGCGAGCCGATGCTGCCGCATCCACGCCGGAATCGGCCCGAGAGTAATGTGTGCTGCAGCCCGGAGCTGGCACGACTCAGTATTTATATACCTTTATATAAAACCTTTTGGTATTACATTGGTACTTAATACATGGTATTACAACCCTTTAAGTTGATAAAACAGCAAACGCCTGTGTGTCTGCTTGGTGCTTGTGTGTGTGTTAGTGCACACACGCGCGCGTATGAGAGAGAGAGAGAGCTTTGTCTGTGTGTGTGTGCTTGGTGCTGTGTGTGTGTTTTTACAGACAGCTTGGCTGTCTGGACTGTATAGCTGGGTGATTTTCGGTTTTGTTCTCCCCCGCTCTTTAGCAGGATCAGGTGCATCGGGTAGAAAACGGGGCGGGTCGGGCAGCGGGACAACAAATTCTTAACATAAGCGGGATCGGTCGGGTTCAGGCTAAAACCTGGCGGGAGCGGGATTTAAAATTTAGTCCCGCGCAGATCTCTACTTCAAAGTCTTTCATAGAGTCCATTTCTTAAAAACCAGGCTATCTGACATTTTTCCCAATATCGATGACAGATGTGACAGATGTCATGCACCAAGGTGTAATTTGAGTCATATGTTCTTTATGTGCCCTCTGTTACAGAATTATTGGATTAATTATTTTACAATTATGTCCAAGATGTAAACCCATTCCCTGATGTTGCCATTTTTGGGGATCTAGAGATTTGGTCCCAATTCAATTATAAACAACTTGATGTTTTGGCGTTTACCTCACTAATAGCCAGGCGTCGTATTCTACTTCACTGGAAATCAAATAAGCCTCCAACTACATCCCAATGGCTTGTAGATACCATGCATTTTCTTAAGTTGGAAAAGGTTAGATGCTCTGGGAAAACTAATTTCTTGAAAAAGTGGCAATGTTTTAGAACTTACTTTAACTCTCTTAAGGTAACTCTCTTCCATTTAATAGATGCACTCTCCTTCCCTTTTTGATTTATTTCGTAGTAATTTAATTTGTTTGTATTATCTAATACTATTTTATACTGTTTAATTGTAAATATTTACTTTCAACATTGACAATGTATCTGAACATTTGATTGTGATATTTGGTTGTAATTCTCTGTACACTTATTACTCTTGTTTCCATTTTTCTTTTCCTCTTTTATTATTATCATTATTATTATTATCATTATTAATATTTCTCTTTTTTATTATATATATTTTTTGATATTATTATTATTATTTTCTCTTTTGTAAAAAAAGAAAAAGGTAATGATATGTAACTATCTGTTCTGATGTAGTGTTTGTTTTTTTCACAATAAACAACTTAAACAACAGTTTCTACAAGATGCTTTACAGTAATATATTTGTGCGTATACTGTGGGGGAAATAAGCTTTGAAAATGTCAGTGTTTTTCTCAGAAAACATGTTTCTAAAGGTGCTGTTGACTTGAAATTTTCACCAGATGTTGGTAACAATCAAATAAATCTATATATGCAGAGAAAACAAAGCTAATTAGTTATGTGTAAGGAAATTAAATGACGCAGGGAAAATGTTTTGAACACATGAAGAAAGGGAGGTGTAGTTGGGCAGTAAAAGCCCACAGACATCAGCTGAAATCTCTCAGTAGTTCTTCAGCAAGCCTCTGCCCGTCCTCAGTGTAAATGAACATCAGCTGCTTCAGTCCAACATCCACATTAGCTGGAGGATGAAGATCAAACCATTTCAGCAAGACAATGATCCAAAGCAAAGCACAGCCAAGAGACTTTCATGCTTTCAGAGAAAGAAAATCAAGCTGTAGAATGGCCCAGCCAATCACCTGACCTGAATCCAATAGAGAATACTGAATAAAGCTCAGATTTGATAGACGAGACCCACAGAAGCATCAGGATTTAGTCTGAGAAACTCACACCTGAGCACAACATGAGGCTTCATTCTCCATATAAGAGGCCAAAAAAGCCTTTTATATAAACACATTTCAGTAGTTCAGCCCTTTCTCCTTACGTCATGTCCTTCTTATTACACACAACTCATTTCTCAGATTGATTTGGTTTGTGTTTTGTTTGGGTTTTTAACTAAATCTGCTTCAGTATCATCCTGAACATAATGAAAGGTGTAGTAAATTTGACCAGTACACAAGGGTTAAGTGCAATCTTTCAGCCTCTTTGTGTAGTATTGTGTGTGTGTGTGTGTGTGTGTGTGTGTGTGTGGTCTAAAATGAGTGTGTTTGTTCTTCAGGGTGTGATGGAGAGTTTTCTGGGCACGGCGTTGGCTGGTGCTGTTTTCTGCATGTTCGGTGGGCAGCCGCTCATCATCCTCAGCTCTACCGGACCCATCCTTATATTCGAGAAGCTGCTGTATGAGTTCAGCATGTGAGCATTGTTTACTGCATGCAGAATTATGCATTTAGCAGATGCTTTTACACAGAGCAACTTACTGTACATACTGTACAAATCTGATAAATAGCAATATATGCAAATGACAGACAGTTCAACCCTTTTGTCAAATATTTCCCAAATAATGTTGAACAGATTCAGGGATTTCTCACAGTATTTCCTCTAATATTTTTTCTTCTGATTTGTTTTATTTCGGCTAGAATAACAGCAGTTTTTAATTGTTTTAAAGCCATTTTAAGGTCAATATTATTAGCCCACTTCAGCAATATTAGTGTTAGATTGTCCAGAACAAACCACTGTTATACAATGACTTGCCTAATTACCCTAACTTTACCCTAATTGCCCTAGTGAAGCCTTTACATGTCACTTTAAGCTGAATACTAGTGTCTTGAAGAATATCTAGTCTAATATTATGTGCTGTCATCATGGCAAAGAGAAAATAAATCAGTTTAAAGTGACATTAAAAGGCTTAACTAGGGTAATATTCATGCATGACAAACCTTCACAAGATCTGACCTCATTAAATCAACCCTCTGATGAGTATGCAGGTTATGTTTAAACCCATAAATGGATCCCACCTCTCATGAAAGAAAAACATGTTTGCGATGTAAAGGGGCTTTCACTCCTGCCTTATTTAGTTGGGTTGAATCGCACTAGAGTCGGTTTTCCCTCTTGATGTGGTTGGTTTGGGCAGGTGTGAATGTATCAGTCACACTCGAGTGTGCACCAAAATCAGCCCAAAAAAGCGTACTAAGACCACCTTATAGAGGTCTTCTCGTAACGCTTTCAAATGAACCCTGGAGCAGTTAGTTTGTGGTGAGAATATGATCCCAAACCCAACCGAACCCAACCAAACCCAAAGTATTGCGCCTTTTTGGACTAATCCAGCTGCCTTAGGCCAATGCGCTGTGCATTATGGGATGTGGAGGAAAAATATTTGTTGACTGCGTTTTGCCATCAGAGAGAGAGGGGGAAAACATTACCTGATGGATCATTGGTAATATTTCCGGAAGATGAGCATGTCACAGTTTAGCTAAATGAATTCACGCCTCCTCCTGAAGTGACGTGTGATGTTCCTTTGCTGTTTGCGATGCATTAAAGCATGTTTTCCAGCCGCAGCCGCATTTCATTCTCCAAATGTATAGTTTGTCTAAAGTGATGTATGCAAACTATACAGTAAACTATGAGCAGGGAAACAATCCGCCAGCACAGTCGCAGCTCCATAGTCAAAAGCCATATTTTGTGTGCCGGTTTGTTTACTCGTAGTTCCATTGGCATTTTCCCGTAAACTTTTGCCTCCATGAGGGAGAGATGTGAGCTCGATGTAGAATTTTTAGTTACATACATTTAGGGACATTGCATTTTTCCAGCCATCCTCCCATTGATCATCTGTGATATTTCCCAAGTCTCATTTAATGAGTCTGTATTTGAAGAGCCACAATCCTTGAGGACTTTGTAGAAACATCTTGTAGAATTTTCGCTGCATGAAAAAAGTTAAAATGTCTGAAATGTCCTGATTTTCAAGTATTGTAGTGTCTTTTTTCACATAGTCTCTTAGTTGCAAGTATGGAAAAAAATCTTGTTGCAAAATGTTATATTTATTATTTGGTTGGTCAGGACACACAAAAATATTTCCATCAAGCAATTTTGAAATTTAGCAATAGGCCATTTCATATATTTTATTTTTTCAACCATTGGAATTATAAATATGTACATATATGTTCAAATATATTGACTAGAAAGTCAGAATTAAATAATTACTTCCCAAATGATGTTTAAAAGAGCATGGAAATGTTCACAGTATGTCTGATAATATTTGTTCTTCTGGAGAAAGTCTTATTTGTTTTATTTCGGCTAGAATAAAAGCAATTTTAAATTATTTAAACACCATTTTAAGGACAATATTATTAGCCCCTTTAAGCAATTTTTTTTCAATAATCTACAGAACAAACCATCATTATACAATGACTTGCCTAATTACCCTAACTTTACCCTAATTATCCTAGTTTAGCCTTTAAATGTCACTTTAAGCTGTATAGAAGTGACTTGAAGAATATCTAGTCTAATATTATTTACTGTCATCATGGCAAAGAGAAAATAAATCAGTGATTAGAGATGAGTTATAAACACTATTATGTTTAGAAATGTGTTAAAGAAATCTGCTCTCCGTTAAACAGAAATTGAGAAAAAAAATTAACAGGGTAGCGAATAATTCTGACTTCAACTGTATGTGTTCATATGTGGCCATATGATTATATCTGATATATTTGAACATTTATGTACATATTTATATTATTGATTTTTATATTATAATTCCAATGGTTGAACAAATTATATAAATATATATTTCTTGCAAAATTTTAAAAGATATGTAGCTCATCCCGGAACTTTACCTTGATCTTCAGTGGAAATGTTCATATCTATATACTTACATCCACATTCATAACTGTTTGGCGCCATCTTGTGTCTTAATAATGTGTAGGTTAGTGTATACTCCATCAGCTATTTTCATTTTTGTCAGCTTAGCGTTTAATTAAAGTATTAATAAACCATTATGGCTCAAAAAATAGATTTTTATCTAATAGTTGTGCCATGTAATAATCAAGATAAAGCACATCCTGGACAGTTGTTTATTGTTTGTTGTTTACCCTTCAGTCTTATACACCTGTCAGGCTTTATTCTGAGATAACAGCCTACTTGATCTACTTTATCACTAACTTCTATTGAAAATTTAGAGTACAGTTTTAAAGTTCAGTCTGTTTTCATTTGTGTTCAGAAACAACAACATCGACTACATGGAGATCCGTCTGTGGATCGGTTTGCACTCCTGCCTGCAGTGTCTGATTCTAGTGGCCACAGATGCGAGTTATATCATCAAATATATGACACGCTTTACAGAGGAGGGTTTCTCCAGCCTCATCTCCTTCATCTTCATCTCTGACGCCCTCAAGAAGATGATGAGCACCTTCAGCTATTACCCCATCAGCCCAGACTTTAAGCCCGACCTCATCATTAGCTACAGGTGTGACTGCCAGCTTCCGGACCAGGGTGAGGCAAAACACATGGCCACAATAGCAGAGTTGACCATAACAGAGTTGACGGTAACACAGTTGACAGTAAAGAAGTAGACGATATTAGAGTTGATGGTAGCAGAATTGACGGTAGCAGAGTTAATGATAATTGGATTGACGTTAGCAGAGTTGACGGTAACAAAGTTGATGGTATCGGAGTTGACGGTAGCGAAGTTGACGATTTCAGAGTTGAAGGCAGCAGAGTTGACCATGAAAGAGTTGACGGTGTCAGAATTGACCGTAGCGGCGTTGACGGTAACACAGTTGACCATAGCAGAGTTGACGGCAGCAGATTTGATGGTATCGGAGTTGACGGTAGCGGAGTTGATGATACAGGAGTGGACGGTAGCAGAGTTAATGATAACTGGATTGACGATAACAAAGTTGACGGTAACAAAGTTGATGGTAAAGGAGTTGACGGTAGCAGATTTGATGATATTGGAGTTGACGGTAGCGAAGTTGATGGTATCAGAGTTGAAGGTAGCAGAGTTAACGGTGTCAGAATTGACCGTAACAGAGTTGAAGGTAGCAGAGTTGAGAGTAGCAAACTTGGTAGTAGTGGAGTTGACGATAGTGAAATTGACGATATCAGAGTTGACGGTATCAGAGTTGACGGTAGCGAAATTGACTATCAGAGTTGATGGTAGCGAAATTGATGGTATTAGAGTTGACGGTATCAGAGTTGACGATGGCAAAATTGACGGTATCAGAGTTGATGGTATCAGAGTTGACGGTAGTGAAAATGACTGTAGCGAAATTTACGGTAATAGAATTGACGGTATCACAGTTGACAGTAGCGAAATTGACGGTATCAGAATTTATGGTATCAGAGTCGACAGTAGCGAAATTTACGGTATGAGAGTTGACTGTATCAGAGTTGACAGTAGCGAAGTTGACGGTATCAGAGTTGACGGTAGCAGAGTTGACGGTAGCAGAGTTGACAATAGCGAAATTGACAGTATCAGAATTGACGGCCTCAGAGTTGACAGCATTAGAGTTGATGGTAGCAGAGTTGATGGTAGCAGAGTTGATGGTAGCAGAGTTGACGGTAGCAGAGTTGACGGTAGCAGAGTTGACGGTAGCAGAGTTGACGGCATCAGAGTTGACAGCATCAGAGTTGACCGTAGCAGAGTTGACAGTAGCGAAGTTGACGGTATCAGAGTTGACAGTATCAAAATTGACGGCATCAGAGTTCACAGTTTCAGAGTTGACAGTAGCGAAATTGTTGGCATCAGAGTTGACGGTCTCAGAGTTGTTTGTTATCGGAGTTGATGTTATGAGAGTTGATGGTAGCAGAACTGACCATATCAGAGTTGACGATATCGGAGTTGACTGTAGCAGTTGACGTGACTACTGGTGGTCCTCCAGGAACGTGGTTGAGAAACACTGCTCTGTAGGCTTGTATATTGTAACGTCTCATAATGGCATTGACGTTTATTGTGTTTTTGTTTGTGTTTTCGCAGTTTCTCCACTGAACAGCACGTCTCCGCTCGCTCTAGAGAACATGTCGGACTACTCGATGGTGAGTTTAAACCTGCGTCTGTTTCTGCCACACACTCATCATCAGTGGTGTAGAGTAATGAATTACAAATACTAAAAACACTGTAATTGAGTGCTTTATCTCCGGAATTGTAATTTACGAAGAATTTTTATAAATGTGTAAAATGTTTACTCGAGTACAACTTTTGTGCTTTTGTCTGCAATTTCACAAAACCAGTCAGTGAGTGAAAATCAGCACTAAAATCAAGTAATAGTTAGTTTCTCATCATGCAAATGTTTTTTGTGTATTGCCAGTGTGACCTGATGAAGATATATAAGTCACAACACTGTCTTAATAATCTGTCTTTTGAGAGCAACAGTGGCAGTGTGCTGATTTATGTCTGCTTATAATTCTCATGTTTAAACTTTTCTTAGGATTCAGTGCAATTCAGGTTTGTTTGAAGAGCACTTTTTACAATAACCATTGGTTCAAGGCAGATTCATGAAAACTGCACATTATTCCATACAATCAAATCTACTCTCTGTTTTTCAGTTCAACTTCTCTGCTCTGGACTGGACTCAGATCAGTAAGAAGGAGTGTCTGAGGCTCGGCGGCTCGCTGGTGGGCAAATCCTGCAAATATGTGCCGGATCTGGCCATGCTGTCCTTCATCCTGTTCTTCGGCACTTACTCCATGACCATCTCGCTCAAGAAGTTCAAGTCTAGCAGATATTTCCCTACGAAGGTCAGCAGTGTGTGTGTGTGTCTGTGCAGACTCTCCTCTTCCCACAGCCAGGGCTCCAGCTAATACACACATTACACTAGAATAACAGCAGCTGGGTTTCCATCTATGCACATGTTGGAATATTGCATAAAGAAATGTGGATAAGCTGGAAGCAGCAGCCATTTTTTGTGTCGTATTGTGCCGAAACTAAACTCTCCGCCTGTGCTTCATCAGTATCTGCACGTCAGTGATGTAGGTACTGGCAGATGCTGATCAGATATAAATGTGTGTGTGAGGTTGTTTGCGTCAGTAATGTTGGTCTGCAGCTCTCCATGTCTCCAGCTCTCCATTGTTGCAGATGTGTAATGTTGTTGTGCTGATTGTAAAAGGCCTCAGCCCCCCGTCAGTCCATCATCACAGTGCTTTAGTATTATTCTTCTTCTGTTATTATTCCCTCCAGAACTGTCTTGAGCATCTGTCTGCTCTCCCCTCTCATGCCTCCGAAAGCCACCACATTCAGCATGTTTATTGCGTTTCGTCTTCATCTTTTGTGCTACACAGGGCCGGCCCTGTACAGTTGGGCGCCCTAAGCAAAATACTTTTGGGGCCCTACCTTACTCTAAATCAGGGGTGTCAAACTCAATTCCTGGAGGGCCGAAGCCCTGCACAGTTTAGTTCCAACCCTGCTCCAACACACTTACCTGCAGGTTTCAAAGGACTCAATTAGTTTGATCAGGTGTGTTTAATTAGGGTTGGAACTAAACTGTGCAGAGCTGCGGCCCTTTTGGAGCTGAGTTTGACACCTGTGCTCTAAATAGTGGAGTATTGCCATTGCAAACCGGCCCACAATGACTTTATTGCTTATTAAATGCAATCAATGAAACAGAAATGTAAAGCCTGATTTCTTCTACTTTATAACTTTCTGAATCACTTGGACATTTTAAAACAGCGCTGTTTCTGTCAACCAGCAGCTTCAAAAATGAAGAATTAAGCAATCTATAATTGACGGTATCAGTCAGAGTTGACTGTAGCAAAGTTGATGGTAGCAGAGATAACGATATCAGAGTTGACGGTAACAGGATTGACGGTAACAGGATTGACAGTAAAAGAGTTGTACATTATCGGAGTTGAAGTTATGAGAGTTGACGGTAGCAGACTTGACAGGAGCGGAGTTGACGGTAGCAGAGTTGACGATATCAGAGTTGACGATATCAGAGTTGACGATATCAGAGTTGGTATCGGAGTTGACAAACTTACGCACGCATCTTTTTCTTTACCTAATTTGGGAACACATATGAACAGACTCAAAGTAAACAACATACACACACACCCCAGCTTTCATCAACGAATCCTCCAATTTCTGACGCAATCAGAGCATCTGATGTGTAGAAAAAGAGCTGAGAGAAGCACCTGATGACTTTTAGTTTGTGAGAAACGGCCTGGATTGAAGATAATAATTTCCCTATAGCATTAACTGCCAGAATTGACCGTAACAGAGGTGACAGTATCAGAGTTGATGGTAGCGGAGTTGAGCATAGCGGGCTTGGTAGTAGCGGAGTTGACGGTAGTGAAATTAATGGTACCAGAGTTGACAGTCTCAGAATTGACTGTAACAGAGTTGACGGAAGCAGAATTGTAAGTTATCGGAGTTGACGGTAGCAGAATTGACAAGAGCGGAGTTGACAGTAGTGGACTTGACGGTAGCGGAGTTGACGATATCAGAGTTGACGATATCAGAGTTGACGATATCAGAGTTGACAATATCAGAGTTGATGATATCAGAGTTGACGATATCAGAGTTTACAATAACAGAGTTGACAATATCGGGGTTGACGATATCGGAGTTTACGATATCAGAGTTTACGATATCAGAGTTGAGGATATCAGAGTTGACGATATCAGAGTTGACGATAACAGAGTTGACGATATCAGGGTTGACGATATCAGAGTTGACGATATCAGAGTTGACGATAACAGAGTTGACGATAACAGAGTTGACGATAACAGAGTTGACGATATCAGAGTTGACAATATTAGAGTTTATGATATCAGAGTTGACGATATCAGAGTTGACGATATCAGAGTTGACGATATCAGAGTTGACGATAACAGAGTTTACGATATCAGAGTTGACGATATCAAAGTTGACAGTAGCAGAATTGACGATATCAGAGTTGACGATATCAGAGTTGACGATATCAGAGTTGACGATATCAGAGTTGACGATAACAGAGTTGACAATAACAGAGTTGACGATAACAGAGTTGACGATATCAGAGTTGACGATATCAGAGTTGACGATATCAGAGTTGACGATATTAGAGTTTACGATATCAGAGTTGACGATATCAGAGTTGACGATATCAGAGTTGACGATAACAGAGTTGACGATAACAGAGTTGACGATAACAGAGTTGACGATATCAGAGTTGACGATATCAGAGTTGACGATATTAGAGTTTACGATATCAGAGTTGACGATATCAGAGTTGACGATATCAGAGTTGACGATATCAGAGTTGACGATATTAGAGTTTACGATATCAGAGTTGACGATATCAGAGTTGACAGTAGCAGAATTTACGATATCAGAGTTGACGATATCAGAGTTGACGATATCGGAGTTGGTACCGGAGGTATCAGAGTTGACAAACTTACGGACGCATCTTTTTCTTTACCTAATTTGGGAACACATATGAACAGACTCAAAGTAAACAACATACACACACACCCCAGCTCTCATCAACGAATCCACCAATTTCTGACGCAATCAGAGCATCTGATGTGTAGAAAAAGAGTTGAGAGAAGCACCTGATGACTTTTAGTTTGTGAGAAACGGCCTGGATTGAAGATAATAATTTCCCTATAGCATTAACTGCACTTATGCGTGCATAGAAACGCTTTATTCTTTAAGAAACATTCATTGCGTTTCGGCTTGGTCTTCTGAGGCGCAGCAGACTCCACTTCTCTCAGTGATATCTGTCGCAGGTGTTCAGGAAGTGATGGTTTTATTCTCTTTTGTTTCTCATTGACTGGAAACGCTGCTTTATTCACTAATGGTTTATGAGATATTCCAGTTTTCTCGCAAATCTAATTTGCATCTTTGGATGGAAACACAGCTACTGTGTCCTAACTAAGACAGACAGACAAACATTTCAATTTCATTCAACTTGTTTACTTATTTTATTCATTTTGTTTACTTATAAACAAAATAATCTGCCAGTGGGGTGAGCAACATAATCTTGTTTTGCTTTGACATAAGATTATTCTGCTTCCCCTATTGTCAGATTATTTTGCCGGTTGAAATTCACTTCATTTTTGCATATTATTTCTGAAAAGTAAACATTAATTTCGCTAGTCTAGAAAATGCTTCAATTTGTAGATATTTGTACTAGAAACTCTATTTCATACTCAGCAGTGCATATCTTGCGATGTGACTATTGTGAATGCACACATTGCGATATCAATGATGGAACGATATATCGTGCAGCACTTCAAACTAAAAACAAGATTATTTCACTTCCCATTAAGAAAAACTTGTTGATTTTAGTATTTCTTTAGATATTTAGACTAGAAACAAGACACAGAAACCCATTTACTGCAGTGTAATATTCCATATAATGTCTGTACAGTCACTTTAGTGTGTGTATCTGGAGCCCTGTCCTGTCCTCATGCATGCTGTGTTTTCCTCCATTGTTCTCCTGCTTGTGTTTTCTCCCCCAAGTGTCGTGCACTGATAGCAGATTTTGCCATCATCATCTCCATCCTGGTGTTCTGTGCGGTGGATTATGGGATGGCGCTGGATACGCCCAAGCTGCATGTTCCCACCCAGATCAAGGTCTGCAGCGTCGAGTCCTCCGTCTGTCTGAAACACATGCTCTGATCATCCACTGTTATAACATTAAACGATGCCTTCAAGTCAACAGCGCACATTAGGACGGACATGCTAAACACACATGCTGTGCTAATCTGGGTTTGAAAATGATCAAATTTAACAGGCTGAATAACAATGAAACATAAATATGGTAACGTGCTAATCTTTAAATCAAGAGTACTAACTGGAATAAACTGGTCAGTTGGTGTTTCTGTGTGGAGTTTGCATGTTCTCCCTGTGTTGACGACGGTTTCCTCCGGGTGCTCCGGTTTCCCCCACAGTCCAAACACATGCGCTATAGGGGAACTGATCAACTAAACTGGCCGTAGTGTATGAGTGTGTGTGTGTGTGTGTGTGTGTGTGTGTGTGTGTGTGTGTGTGTGTGTGTGTGTGTGTGTGTGTGTGTGTGTGTGTGTGTGTGTGTGTGTGTGTGTGTGTGTGATTAAGTGTGTATGGGTGTGTCCCAGTACTGAGTTGCAACTGGAAGGGCATCCACTGTGTAAAACATTTGCTGGAATAGTTGGCAGTTCATTCCACTGTGGCGAACTCTGATTAATAAAGAGACAAAGCCGAAAAAAAAGAATGAATAATAATAATAATGATAGATAATAAGTTTATATATTAATATAGTATATTACATAAATAGTATATTATACATTATAGTTTATTTATTTATTATAACCGTAAAAACCCTGACTACTAAGATGTCGTAATAATGAAATATTATTAATAAAAAAAATTTTTTTGAATTATTTATTATTTTATTTATGTAATACTACTACTAATAACATAATAATAATAATAATAATAGATAATGTTTATATATTAATATAGTTTATTACATTAATAGTATATTATATATTATAGTTTATTTATTCATTCATTTATTCATTTATTAAAAATTATTTTTTTATTTATTAAAAAAACCTAAAAGCCCTGACTACTTAGATGTGGTAATAATATAATATTATTAATAAATATTTTATTTATTTTTAATTATATTTATTTAATACTACTACTAATAACATAATAATAATAAATGATAGGTAATAAGTTTTTATATTAAAATAATATATTATATTAATAGTATATTATATATACAAGTTTATTTATTTATTTATTTATTTACTTATTATAACCATAAAACCCTACTAAGATGTGGTAATAATGAAATATTATTATTAAATATATTTTTATCATTAATATATATATAATTTATTTATTTATCATTCTTTTCTATATATTATATTACATTACATGACATCATATTATTGTAAAAACCCTGTCTACCAAAATGTGGTGGAAATATATTATATTAATAGTATATTATATATACAAGTTTATTTATTTATTTATTTATTTATTTATTATAACCATAAAACCCTACTAAGATGTGGTAATAATGAAATATTATTATTAAATATATTTTTATCATTAATATATATATAATTTATTTATTTATCATTCTTTTCTATATATTATATTACATTACATGACATCATATTATTGTAAAAACCCTGTCTACCAAAATGTGGTGGAAAGCTATTTATTTTAATCATAAGATACAACTGTAAATTTTCATTGTAAAATATAAGTGTTTGACCGAAAATTGTAAAAGCCTTTGCTATGTGTAAATAAAAATAATAATTGATAAATATGAAGTTTTACATTTTGTTTTGTTAAATATTTAATACATTTCAAGCAGTATTTTTACAGGAAACAAAATACACTAACAGATCATATAAAAATAAATAAATTATTGTATTACATTAACCACAGGAAACTAATTTTTAAGAGCATAATAATTATATTTAAAGACCACATGAACAAGTAATTTCCCTGTACTAGTTTGCAGCTGGAAGGGCGTCCGCTGCGTAAAACATATGCTGGATAAGTTGGTGGTTCATTCCGCTGTGGCGTCCCCAGTTTAATAAAGGGACTAAGCCGAAAAGAAAATGAACGAATGAATGAGTAAGTTGCTGCAGATTTTTATTTCAGTATTATGACGTATTTCCTACTTAAACTGATTATTGAGTGGGAGGGGGGGGTTATTTTAAGTACAAAAAAATAGCAGTAAAAGGGGCGTGGCTAAATATATTTCACCCAATCAGAGAAGGGCTGCCATTCCAGAGCAGGAGCAGATGCTCAGATTTTGATTAGAGATGACCAGATTGAACTGTTTATACGAGTAGATTAACTTGATTAATTGTTTGGCTTATGGCTAAAAATGTGCGCTAATAGAATAAACATTGCACATTTGGCTTTCATGCAGACTTTAAACAAAAATCTAAGACTACCTGAAGAATATATCTGAAAATAAACACACCAAGTCCATATTTTGACCCACAGAACTCATGTAAACGTTCCCGGAAGCACTTGAAGGCATCGATGGTGTCCGTTTCCTCTTCTTGTCTGGTTTTGATCTGGTTTATTAGTGTGTTTTTCTGCATCTCTGTCTTTCTGTTCTCTATACTCGTGCAGCTTCGGAAACTCATCAGTGATTTTGCAATCTTCACATCAATCATGACTTTTGTTGGTCTCGATATGTTTATGGGACTTAAAACACCCAAACTGATTGTGCCGACTGAGTTTAAGGTACGTGCTGCTGTAACCCTGATCTGATCTGATTCTGTACTAATATTAGACAATCATCACATTCATACACACTGCTGGATCATGAACTGTGTGCTCTGTACATGTGACTACCACTGGATATTGCTGTACTGACATCTGTGTGTGTGTGTGTGTGTGTGTGTGTGTGTGTGTTCAGCCGACGCGTCCTGACCGTGGCTGGATCGTGATGCCGATGGGCAGGAACCCGTGGTGGATGTGTTTGGCCAGTTTTGTTCCTGCTCTGCTGGTCACCATTCTCATCTTCATGGATCAGCAGATCACCGCCGTCATCGTCAACCGCAAAGAAAACAAACTCAAGGTGTTCAGTCACACAGCTGCTGTTAGATTTTGTTACCAAAAATAGATATATATGTACTATATACAGGATTGCAAAACGTAAACTCAGAATTGTGAAATGTAAAGTCAGAGTTGTGAAACCCAAAGTCAGAATTGCCAAGTGTAAACAGAATTGTAAGATGTTAAGTCATAATTGTGAAACAAACTCAAAATTGCAAGATGTAAATTTAGAATTGCGAAACGTAAAGTCTGAGTTACGAGACGTAAACTTCGAATTGCAAAACCCAAAGTCAGAATTGCGAGACATAAACTCAGAATTGTGAAACGTAGTCAGAATTGCAAAATGTAAAGGTAGAATTGTGAAACGTAAACTCAGAATAGTGAGATGTAAAAGTCAAAATTGCGAGACGTAAACTCTGAATTGTTTGACGTAAACTCAGAATTGCAAAACATGAACTCAGAAGTGCGAGACATAAATTAAAAATTACAAAACGTAAAGTCAGAATTGCAAAATGTAAAGTCAGAATTGCGAAACGTAAAGTCAGAATTGCGAAACGTAAAGTCAGAATTGCGAAACGCAAAGTCAGAATTGTAAAACTTAAAGTCAGAATTGTGAATCGCAAGGTCAGAATTGTGGAACATAAAGTCAGAAATGCGAATTGCAAAGTCAGAATTGCAAAACGTAAAGTCAGAATTGTGGAACGTAAAGTCAGAATTGTAAAACGTAAAGTCAGAATTGTGGAACGTAAATTCAGAATTGCGAAACGCAAAGTCAGAATTGCGAGATGTAAAGTCAGAATTGCGAAACGTAATGTCAGAATTGTAAAACGTAAAATCAGAATTGTAAAACGTAAAGTCAGATTTGTGGAACGTAAAGTCAGAATTGTAAAATGTAAAGTCAGAATTATGGAACGTAAAGTCAGAATTGTGGAATGTAAAGTCAGAATTCTAAAACGTATAGTCAGATTTGTGAAACGTAAAGTCAGAATTGTAAAATTTACAGTTAGAATTGTGGAATGTAAAGTCAGAATTGTAAAAGGTAAGGTCAGAATTGCGAAACGTAAAGTCAGAATTGCGAAACGTAAAGTCAGAATTGCGAAACGTAAAGTCAGAATTGCAAAATGTGAAGTCAGAATTACAAATCGCAAAGTCAGAATTGCGAGACGTAAAGTCAGAATTGTGAAACGTAAAGTTAGAATTGTAAAACAAAGTTAGAATAGCAAAATGTAAAGTCAGAGTTGCTAAACGTAAACTCTGAGTTGCAAAAAGTTTTGTGACCTGTAAACTGGTTACGTTATTATTCCTGCATGTTCGCGGAGCAGAAGGGCTGTGGTTATCATCTGGATCTGTTCTGGGTTGGCGTCCTCATGGCCGTCTGCTCCTTCATGGGTTTACCATGGTACGTGGCAGCGACTGTGATTTCCATCGCACACATCGACTCTCTGAAGATGGAGAGTGAGTCCAGCGCTCCGGGGGAACAGCCACAGTTCCTGGGTGTGCGGTGAGTCCAGACACCAGCAAAATACTGACTGTGCTTTCTCTGACTTATACTTTCAACAGCATTAGATTTGTTTCCTCTACATTCATATTAATGAGTAAAAAATAGTATGTTCTGGCAGAGTCACATCTGGGTAAATTCCATATATAGATAAATAAACAAATTTAAATGAATTAAATACAAATATTTGGTATGAAGAATAAATTGCATGTTTTATTATGCCTCTGCACTGACATTACTTTAAGAGGATGTGATAAAAGTCTCCTTTCCTTTATGTTCTCCTTATTTAAAAAATAATGCCATAATGCACAATATTGGCGTACCAGTATCTTAAATTATGGACATTTTCTTGTTGCAAAATATTTTTATTATATTATTTTTGTATGTGACTCTTCCACAATATTAGTATTTTGTACAAGCTAATTTTATTTTTAAACTTTTATTTTAGTATAATCCTTTGTATGCTTATCACCCCCGGTGTGGGTAGCACTCTCTGGCTGCAATTGTGAGACATAAATTTAGAATTGCGAAACGTAAAGTCAGAGTTGTGAAACCCAAAGTCAGAATTGCGAAGTGTAAACTCAGAATTGCGAGACGTAAAGTCTTAATTGCGAAACAAACTCAGATTTGAAAAAAAAACTCAGAATTGCGAGACATAAACTCAGAATGGTGAGAAATAATAAGAATTGCGTAACGTAAAATTAAAATTGTAAAACATAAACTCAAAATTGTGAGGCATAAATTAAGTATTGCGAGACGTAAAGTAAGAATTGTGAAACGTAAAGTCAGAATTGCAAAGCGTAAAATCAAAATTGTGAAACAAACTCAAAATTGCGAGACATAAAAACAGGAATTGTGAGACGTAAAGTCAAAATTGAGAAAAAAAGTAAGAATTGCGAGATGTAAAGTCAGAATTGTGAAATGTAAAGTAAGAATTGCGAGACGTAAAGTATAAGAATTGCAAGATGTAAAGTCAGAATTGCGAGACGTAAAGTAAGAATTGTGAGACGTAATGTCAGAATTGCGAGACATTAAGTCAGAATTGCGAGACGTAAAGTCAGAATTGCGAAACGTAAAGTAAGAATTGCGAAACGTAAAGTCAGAATTGCGAGACGTAAAGTCAGAATTGCGAAATGTAAAGTCAGAATTGCAAAACGTAAAGTCAGAATTGCAAGACGTAAAGTCGGAATTGCGAAACATAAAGTCAGAATTGCATAACGTAAAGTCAGAATTGCGAAATGTAAAGTCAGAATTGCGAAACGTAAAGTCAGAGTTGCAAGACATAAAGTCAGAATTGCAAAACGTAAAGTCAGAATTGCGAGACGTAAAGTCGGAATTGCGAAACATAAAGTCAGAATTGCAAAACGTAAAGTCAGAATTGCGAGACGTAAAGTCGGAATTGCGAAACATAAAGTCAGAATTGCATAACGTAAAGTCAGAATTGCGAAATGTAAAGTCAGAATTGCGAAACGTAAAGTCAGAGTTGCAAGACATAAAGTCAGAATTGCAAAACGTAAAGTCAGAATTGCGAGACGTAAAGTCAGAATTGCAAAATGTAAAGTCAGAGTTGTGAAACAAATTCAGGTGGGTAGGCGGGTTTGTGTCCAGCACTCCCTGGCTGCAAGACCAAATGGCTGCTCCCTTTATCGGACTATATCCACATCCCCTGAATCCAATCCCTGTTGCGATGTTATGTCTGTGTTTTTTCTGATCTCACACTGCCCTACTTCAAGTATAGTCTGAGAGGGGCTTTTTTCACCTCTCTCTTCCCTTATGTATCTTATTTTCTCTTTCTGAAAGCTACCTCTCGTCTGACCTGTCTTCCGCTGAAATGTGTGATGTTTGTGTATGGTCGGAGGGGTCCAATTTTGCTACATGCAAAAGTCTATGTGAAAAATAAAGGCTTTCTTCATCATCATCATCATCATCGTTATCATATGTATCAAAATAAATGTTCTAAAATAAAAATCGATGGAACAAAATACATGCTAATATTGTGGGAGATACATAAAAATATTCATGCTAATATTATTATTGCATTTAAACTTTACATTTCATTTTGCTTTAATATGTATATTTTCTATTCTTAATTAGGGGTATAATTATATTAGAATGTATGTCATTTATTATTTATTAAGTTTAGTCATTTTTTCAGTGTTCCAGCACATTTGCTACATTTTTCATCTGTCTATTTTAGTGTTGTGTTGTTGTTTTTGACAAAAAAAAGATGAAGCTTTGTTTCTGATGTTTGTGTTTATCTGACAGTGAACAGAGACTCACAGGAACTCTAGTGTTCGTCCTCACCGGAGTCTCCGTCTTCATGGCGCCCATTCTGCAGGTGATCAAAACTCACTCCATTATTTTGATAACAATAATAGATCAAAACTAGATCAATATATCAAAACTCACTCTGCTGTCTTTAGAACAGTGTGGGATTTTGGTCTGTTGAGTCCTGATTGGATGGTATTTTGATCTCAAGTATAGCTGAAGTCAGAATTATATTTGCTCTCCTGTGAATTTTCCTCTCTGTCTAATATTCCCCAAATGATGTTGAACACATTCAGGAATTTTTCACAGTATTTCCTCTAATATTTGTTCATCTGGAAAAAGTCTTATTTGTTTTATTTCGCCTAGAATAAAAGCAGTTTTTAATTGTTTTAAATAAGTTATGTAAGTTAGTTAATTGTAAGTTAACTAAGTTAAGTAAAACAATTTTTAATAGTTGCATATTTTAAAATAATTACAAAACAACTCAACAACAACAATAATATATATATATATATATATATATATATATATATATATATATATATATATATATATATATATATATATACAAAGAAAGTAATGTAATAATAGAAATAAAAAATAATTTAAATAAATTTAAAAGAAAGTTTAAGTTATTATTAAAAAACAATTAGGGTAAATAAATGGTTTCAGTGAATGTACAAAGAGGCAGTTAATAGGAGTAGGAGCATATCAAAGGGCCATGAAACCCCCCGTTTCAGCTGGATGTTTTCACACCTCTAGTTTGGAAAAAGTCAGGAAAGTGGGCGTGTCTACCTCTGTTTGGGTGGGAGTGTCGGAGGATGGAAAATGGGCAGGGTTTGAATAAAAATGGGAGTTGCCATTTGGGCGCGCGCTGAGGAAAAACAAACACATAAGCAGGGGAGAGAGACAGAGTGTTTAATGACGGTGGAATGTGTGATACAGCACGTTGTATAAAAGAAAAAAGCCTCTGCATTTCTCTGTAACTCAGATGCACTCAGTAGCTCAGAAAGCCGTGTGTGTGTGTGTAGACTCCTGTCACAAAATATGGGGAAAATTCAACTCGAGGGTCGGCAAAAGTTTGCTTACAGTGTTCACATGTTTACACACAGAGAGCAGCATTTACAGCGGATCTTTCAATATTGTAGTGATATTAGCGTACTGTAAACTAAATAACTTAGAAATCATTTTGACTAAGGTCTGTCTGTAAACACTGCTGACCATATGAACTATAACTTTGCCATCTGAAAGAACAAACATAGCACAGTGATCGCACACACTTACCGAATCTGTAGACAGGACAATCAACACAAGTTACTAAATCTGCAACTTTTTTAAAGGAGACGAGCAGCAAATCCGGATCTCACCGTTGATGAGAAATGCTCTCGGGTAAAAAATGTTCCAAACAAGTCGGCGCCAATAGCCTAGTGGTTAGTGCGTCGACACGTATCACAGAGGTACTCGCAGCAACCCGAGTTAGATTCCCATCTCAAGGTCCTTTGCTGATCCTTCCCCTATCTCTGCTCCCCACACTTTCCTGTCTCTATATCTCCACTGTCCTATCAATAAAGGTGAAAACCCCTAAAAAAATAATAAAAAATAAAAAAAGTTCCAAACAAACGCATTTCTGCCGCGCGTCGAGTCCACGGATCCACACATGAGTTCCACAAGAAAATGAAACAAAACCTTCACATTATGAAAGCAACACTAGCGACCCGTATCTCCAAACAATTCTTATTCTTTTGCCCCAACTTTTGGCAACATGACGTGTGTCGTCTCTCTGCCATCTGAGCAGTTTCAGGTACAGTCTTTGAAGCGATCATGCATATTAATGAAGTTGCACAATAGAGTGCGCTGATTGGTTTGAACCAAGCTATACTCATGAATGAATGCAAGACGTAATACGGGACGCCCCGGTACAGACGTCCAGTCTGCACGCTGGAATACAGGCTATTATCTCATGACCGTGACGCAGCTTCAAAAATTCGTTTTAAACCGGAAGTACGAATTTGCTCGAAATAACGCAAAAACAACCAATTTACACTTGTTAGTGAGATATAGGTGTCCTAATAGTGTTTATAGCAGTGTGGGACACATATACCACTGTCAACAGCTCAAACACAAGTGTTCTGGTGTTTCGTGACTCTTTAAGCATTACTCTACTGCTCAGCATCCGCATTATATTGGTCCAGGTGTTCAGGAAATGGTTGCCATTTATTGTAAAACTTATCAAGATTATCAATAACTCCATAATGGACTCTGTCTTTTAAAACCATTTTAAGGTCATTATTATTACTTTCCTTTAAGCAATAATATAATTAAGTATCACATGTATTTAGTACAGAAATTATTTTGTATTTGGCTTAATGTCGTTTTGCTGAACAGAAACCTTTCAGTTTGTGTGTGTGTGTGTATTCTGGGTTAGTGAGCACTGCTGTAATGAATCAGTTGCTGTATTATGAAATATTTCCGTAATCTAGTATATCTATTGTATTTTTGCAGTCGGGGCCTTGAGAATCAGATGTAATGTTGAGTGTGTGTGTGTGTGTGTGTGTGTGTGTGTGTGTGTGTGTGTGTGTGTGTGTGTGTGTGTGTGTGTGTGTGTGTGTGTGTGTGTGTGTGTGTGTGTGTGTGTGTGTGTGTGTGCGCAGTTCATCCCGATGCCGGTGCTGTATGGAGTTTTCCTCTACATGGGTGTTGCTTCTCTTCATGGTATTCAGGTACAGGCATGCAGAAACTCTCTCCGAGGCTGTTACGGTTCAGCATGTTTAAATGACTTTTACTTTGTTTTGATTCTGTTTTTAATTTTTGCTGTAAATTACAGTTTAGTTTCAGTCATTGTTCTGTTTTTAGGTTTTATTATCTGAACACATTCCTATTTAGTTTTCATGTATTCACTTTTATTTTATTCATTTCAACTCAGTAATCTGTATTCCTCTAGCACTTCTACACTGTAGATTGTGTCACAGCAGCTGAACACTGAAGTTCTAGTAAACTGAAGCTGTCTCAGTCCAGTGTTCAGTGTTGAAGTTCAGTTCAGTGTGCTTTAATAATCACTACTGAGAGTCCAAACACTGAAGAGCAAATCCATCCATGCGCAGAAACACAAGTCCCAAACCAAACAAGCCAGTGGAGAAACAAACTTCACCAATTGACCAAAGTGAAGGAAAACAGCTGGAGAGAAACCAGACTCAGTTGGGCACGACCATTTCTCCTCTGGCCAAACGTCTTGTGCAGAGCTGCAGTCTAGGCGCCGGAGGCTGTATAGCGCTGGACGTCCATCATGGAGAAGCTGCAGGTGTGAGCAGATCACTGGCAGGTGTTCAGGCTGGCCCACAGGATCAATGCGGAGACTCAGCAGCTGCTCAGGATACAGCAGGTCCAGGGTTATGGAGACCTCAGGATAATGAAAAGCAGACTAACATGAGTGCAGACGCCGTTCACATTATAATGTCTTTGAGGAAGTGTTCCTGGCTCCGGTTGCCCTAATTAATGCAGACTAACAATCCTTTACAGCAGTGGTTCTCAAACGTTTTTCACCAAGTACCACCTTAGAAAAAAATAAGCTGCGTCCCAAATGGCACACTATACACTATGCACTCATGCACTATGTACTTCTGCACTTACACACTCAGCAGGATAGTATATGTATGTAGTGTCGTCCCAAATGGCACACTTATGTATTTTTACTAAGCGGAAATTCAAACCGTTTCCCTGATGACGTTTGACTGTTGCCAAATCAGTGAAATAAACGACCGAATTATCAAATAATACCTGCCGTGAGTATAACCGCATTCACCATCGGGAGGCGCTATAATCACTCTCGTAGGAGAATTTTGCTTTCACCATCCAAAATAAATAAAGTTATTCAACATGTGCGCCTGATAGCTCCGCCCCTTCCGTTACGTAAGCAAACCTGCGGTCGTTGAGTGCGTGAAGTGTCCATCATTACACACTTCACTTTAGCGGCTGAATGAGTGCATCATCCGGGTAATTAAAGTGCACTTATTATTTTTAGAGTTTTCAGTGTGAACGCACTACTTACACTATTTATACTACAAAATGGCGTAAAATAGTGCATAAGTATGCGATTTGGGACGCAGCTTTTGTCTCTCCAAGTACCACCATAATGACTAGTATTGAAATACAGTAGCGTAGAAGGCCTAATTAGGCAGCTAAAGCTCTGCTCTGTTCAAAAATGAGGCAGATTAATTTCTATTATTATGAATATTTATTATTGTCAGCGACTTTAAACATAATAAATAGCTTGAAAATTAACACAGCTCTGTGCGCACAGGTAAAAAAAAATAATGCTTAAATTAAAATGTACTTCTAAAAGTAAATTAGAAATGTTCCTAAAAGTAAAAAGAAAACTGCTGTACTTAAATGTACAGTATTAACATATAGTAGCTTATTCATAAAAACCTGGAAATGTTCCTTGGACCTCATATATATAGGTTATTTGTGATCATATTCATATATAAAATGTTTTTGGAAAATTTTGAAATAGATGTAGATTTAGGACTTATTTGTGTATATATATGAAATCTGAACATCTAAACTTTAAATATATGATTTTGATTTACGTATTTAATTTATAAATTTGATCTGCTTACAGTGTGTTATAGGCTTTGTGTGTCAGAAAAGCAAGTCATTAAACCACATCTGTCAACATTGAGATATAAAAATACGGGATACGCCCCTAACAACCGTTACAAATATGGGGAGGAGATTAACTTCAAATGATAGAATACATAACAGACATTAGAAAATTAAAAATAAAATAAAAGGTTTATCCTATTAAAATCAATTTACTGATCACATTGATGTTAGCATACATTTTAAAGGGTTAAAAACTGTGGTCATTTTTTTTTTACTTTAATTATCTAGCAATTCCTCCGCGTACCACTAGAAGGAAGCCTGCGTACCACTAGTGGTACACGTACCACAGTTTGAGAACCACTGCTTTAGATCTCAACCGGTGGGCTGCAGTGATCCTGCGGGTGGGCCACAATACAGCTTAAAGTTAACTCCCAATATTATACTATAATTTCTGGATTTCATTAATTTGCCATATCAAAATGATGGAAGTAATGCACTTTCTCCTGTTCTCTGAATGATTACTTCAAACTCAGCGCAAAAACAGCCTTATAATCACGACTAGTACACGCAAATCTGTTCATTCACAAACTATGCATGAAGTGAAGGTCTCTCATTGTGTATTTTTGTGGGAACTATTTAATATATCTGCGTAGTTATCCAAATTAGTGTCTTGTGAGTGTTTAATAACGCATGTGCGCCTTACAGGAGGATCAAGCGAGGCTCAATGGTGTTTCTGCCATTGAATTTAAAATAAACTGTAAAACTATAGTTTATAGATGGAAGACTATACAAATAGATACACAAAGAATAAGTGGAATTGAAGCAATATATGTCAGGAATTCAGTGCTAGTGTGTGTGTGAAATGCTGGAGAACTGAGTGCGGTTGCTCAATGGATTAGATTGATTCCAGTCAGCAGATCAACAGTGTGTTCAGATGCGCACTGAGGACACCTGCTGGTCACAAGAGATGCTGACCCATTCAAAGCTGAATCTACAAACAAACTCATCATTATTGTTCGTCTGTGTGTGAGGACGCTGATATATGTATCCTGATATTTATATCATCATCCTGCTTGGTGTGAACTGGCCCTCATCCAGCTGGACCTGAGCACGTGTGTTCTCTGTGTCTTCAGTTTTGGGAGAGGATAAAGCTGTACCTGATGCCTGCCAAACATCAGCCAGATTTTGTGTTTCTGCGGCACGTCCCGCTGCGGCGCGTTCACCTGTTCACCCTGCTGCAGATCACCTGTCTGGCTGTGCTCTGGATACTCAAGTCCACCGTCGCCGCCATCGTCTTTCCCGTCATGGTGAGAATATGTGGATATATGGATATATTAATTGCTATATTAGTTTTGTTTCCATAGCAACTGTAGAATCACCACAACAGATCGATTACTATAGTAGTTGTGTTGCCATAGCAACTGTAGAATCACCACAACAGAGATCGATTACTATAGTAGTTGTGTTACCATAGCAACTGTAGAATCACCACAACAGATCAATTGCTATAGTAGTTGTGTTACCATAGCAACTGTAGAATCACCACAACAGATCGATTACTATAGTATTTGTGTTACCATAGCAACTGTAGAATCACCACAACAGATCGATTACTATAGTAGTTGTGTTACCATAGCAACAGTAGAATCACCACAAAAGATTGATAACTAACTATAGTTGTTGTGTTACCATTGCAACTGTAGAATCACCACAACAGATCGATTATTATAGTAGTTGTGTTACCATAGCAACTGTAGAATTATCACAACAGATCGATTACTATAGTAGTTGTGTTACCATAGCAACTGTAGAATCACCACAACAGATCAATTGCTATAGTAGTTGTGTTGCCATAGCAACTGTAGAATCACCACAACAGATCGATTACTATAGTATTTGTGTTACCATAGCAACTGTAGAATCACCACAACAGATCGATTACTATAGTAGTTGTGTTACCATAGCAACAGTAGAATCACCACAAAAGATTGATAACTAACTATAGTTGTTGTGTTACCATTGCAACTGTAGAATCACCACAACAGATCGATTACTATAGTAGTTGTGTTACCATAGCAACTGTAGAATCACCACAACAGATCGATTATTATAGTAGTTGTGTTACCATAGCAACTGTAGAATCACCACAAAAGATTGATTACTATAGTAGTTTTGTTACCATAGCAACTGTAGAATCACCACAACAGATCGATTACTATAGTTGTTGTGTTACTATAGCAACTGTAGAATCACCTAAACAGATCAATTACCATAGTATTTGTGTTACCATAACAACTCTAAAATCACCACAACAGATCAATTACTTTATTTGTTGTTACCATAGCAACTACAGAATTGCCAGAGTAGATTAATTACTGTAGTTGTTGTGTTGCCATAGCAACTGTAGAATCACCACAACAGATCAATTACTATAGTTGTTGTGTTACTATAGCAACTAGAATCACCACAACAGATCAATTACTCTAGTTTAAATTTTGCCATAACAACTGTTGAATCACGATGACAGATTAATTCAAGTACTTTACAATAGCATGGTTCAAAAACACTACAGTATATTCACTATAAAGTACCGTAGTATTTTGTTTAATGTGGGATGACCCATCTGTGAGTGTCAGAATATCAGTCCTGTAATCGTGTGTGTTTATCTGGTCAGATCCTGGGCCTGATGGTGGTGAGGAAAGCTCTGGATCTGATCTTCTCTCAGCATGACCTGGCCTGGCTGGACGACATTCTGCCCGATAAAGACAAGAAGAAGAAAGAGGACGAGAAGAAGAAGAAGAAAAGCAAGACGGATGAGCACAACAACAGCGATGAGGAGGTACAGACTGCACATCTGTAGATCAGGGGGCGTATTACAGAAAGATAATACACTCTAAACATCTTACTTACTGACGTTATTTCCCCATGATCGACGATTCAGGTTTTATTTGTTATCTAAATGTTACCTTCAATTATTTTATTATTATAAAGAATATAAACACGCTCTTTCAATAGAAAAATACCTTTGATCGTTGAGTATATTTACAGTACAAATGATAACACTGAAATGTGAGAGGAAAAAAGTACATAAATAATTACACTAAAACTAAAATAACAAAACCAAGGTACATAATTAATCAATAATATGTAAAGTTGTTCTTGTTTACATTACTAAATACACTGAGTTAAACTTACAGTAGACTCACCACAACAGATCAATTACTGTAGTTATTGTGTTACCATAGCAACTATAGAATCACCATCATACGTCAACTACTATAGTTGATCTGTTACCATAGCAACTGCAGAATCACCTTAACACATCAATTACTGTAGTTGTTGTGTTACCATAGCAACTGTAGAGTCACCACAGCAGGTCAATTACTATAATCATTGTGTTACCATAGCAACTGTAGAATCACCGCAACAGATTAATTATTATAGTTGTTACCATAGCAACTGTAGAATCACCACGACACATCAATTACTGTAGTTACCATAGCAGCTGTAGAATCACCATGACACTTCAATTACTATAGTTGTTTTGTTGCCATAGCAACTGTAGAATCACCACGACACATCAGTTACTGTAGTTATTGTGTTGCCATAGCAACTATAGATCATCACGACAGATCCATTAGTAATACATTTTGTACTGTATTAATTCATCTAGTTAAAGTTGGTTAACGTAATTTAAATAAATGTTTTACCAATTTTTAAGTTGGTAAATACAGTAACTAATGGAACGTTATTTTAAAGTGTTATAAAGACATCCTACATATAGATAAGATACAGATCTTTCGAATCCTAAATAATATTAAGATTTACTTCTGAACAAATATAAAAATTTGCTTAGAATAATAACAGTCCGATTTAACGATACATCAGTTAAGAATAAAGATTAGAAAGTTTCTTTAATACGCCCCTGATTATATCTGAGCTTCTGCGCTCTCGTTTCACCTGTCATCTCTTCTGCTTTAACTCCACAGTGTTGCTGAACAGGCACTGTATTACATTCATTCTGCTATATCAGTGTGTGTGTGTGTGTGTGTGTTTCTCCTCATGTGCTCTCCGCATGACTGTAATCATTTATTATTATCAATTTTTCTTAACAGACATGTTTTTCAGGATTGTTTGTTGATTAGAGAGCAGCATCTATCTGAAATAAAGTGTTTGTAACTTTATACACTGCACCGTTCAAGAGCTTAAAGTCGGTAGTGTGTGTGTTTTTAAATAAATAGTTTGTTTGTTTTCTTGTGTGTCTGTCTCTCTCTGTATATGTATGTGTGTGTTCTGTCAGTGTGTGTGTGCTGTAGACTCCTCCTCCTCCCTGAAGATTCCTCTGGAGCTCCTCAACCCTTCATCAAACCCTCCTCCTGCTTCACACACACCCGTATGTATTCATTCCTCCCCTTTTGTGTGTGTGTGTGTGTATGTGTGTGTTTAAGCAGAAGTGTCACCTCTTTTATACATGCGTGTGTTTGAGCAGAAGTGTTGCCTTTATTCTCTTACAGTCGGAGCAGAACACACACAAGTGACGTGTCTCCATCAGCTGAACACTTAAAGGGGCAGTTCACACTCAAATCAGCATCCGCTCATTATTTACTCACTTCTTACAGACCCGTTTGACTTTCTGTTGAACACAAAGGAAGATATTCTGAAGAATGCCGGAGCAAAACAGACATTGACATACATGGTATTATTTAACTTGCATGTGAAAACAGGTACAGTGGATTTATTGTGTTCATATTGCACTGGACAACACTTCTGGTGGTAGGCGGCACGGTGGCTCAGTGGTTAGCACTGTGGCCTCACAGCAAATAATTGTGCAAATATTATTTGAACTTAAAATAATATTGCCTTTCACTGTTTTCTTAAAATGTTGGAAAAAAAAACATCTTACAATATTATTGCTATTAATATACATTTAAACATATATATTAATGTTAGTCAATGGCTGCTTTTCCCAGAATTCCCCAGGCTATCTTCATTAGTGTTCAACTGAAGAAAGAAACTCATTTGTGTCTGAACTGTCTCTTTAATCCCCGTTTGAGCTGCTGCTTTGGGCCGGATCTGATCTGATCTCCATCTCTGGCTCTTTCCCAAACACACGAGAGTCACGGATGCCAGATATTCCTCAGTGACGCACGTCTGCAAACACAACAGGCTCACGGATGCCAGATATTCTTCAGTGACGTAAACACACACTGAGCAGACGCCGGCTCATGATTAATGCTTACAAACTACACTGAAATAACCCACACAACAGACGGCCGCACTGCTGAGCTCACACACTGTCATTTAGATAAACTGCAATGACAAAAATAAGAAATAATAATAGGAAAGGATGAAGATAAAGTTCAGCCAGTAGAATAAAGCCTGACAGGTTTATCAGCAGCTGTTGTAGAAGACTGAGGGGTTTATTCTGGGATAACCACCGGCTGGATGTACATTATGCTGATTATTACACGGCTACTGGCCACCAAACTAAACATTGACCTGAGCTTTATTAATTTGATAGCTCTTTAATTAATTGTAAAGCCAACATGAAGAAAAAAGACTGAATGCAGTTACACTAACCTACTTAATATTGTTATAATTATGAGTAATATTATTCAACAACAACAGCAGAGTGACAGGTGTGTGTGTGTGTGTGTGTGTAAGAGAGAGACTTATTTCAGAGTTGCGAGTACATTTTTAAGCATTTTCCATTCATTTCCCTTTAACTGGAATTATTTACATTTAACTGAATCCATTATTCATGTAAAATAAAGCAAAATGCTTAAATGTAATATAGGATTCTGTTAATAACTGTTGTTCAGCTTATTGTTAAACTTTTTAAAACACTAACAGAGTTGACAGTAATGGAGTTGTCAGTAACTCATTTTATCGTCAACTCTGACTTCGTCAACTCTGATTCTGTCAACTCAGAGTTGACAAAACGAGAGTTGACGATAACAGAAATGACAAAAGCAGAATTGATGAAAACAAAGTTGATAGTAACAGAGTTGATGATAACAAAATTGACAATAACAGAACTGACGATAACAGTTGATGATGACAGTTGACGATAACATTGACGAAATCAAAGTTCACAATGACAGTTGATGATAACAGTTGACAAAATAATGTGACGAAATCAGAGTTGACGATAACAGAGTTGACAAAATCAGAGTTGACGATAATAGAATTGACAGTACCAGAGTTGACGATAACAGAATTGACAAAAGCAGAATTGATGAAAACAGTTGACGATAACAAAATTGACAGTAACAGAGCTGACGATAACAGAGTTGATGAAATCATAGTTGATGATAACAGTTGACAATAACATTGACAAAATCGGAGTTGACAAAATCAGAGTTCAAGATAACAGTTGACAAAATAAGAGTTGATGAAAAAGTTGACGATGACAGAGTTGACAAAATCAGAGTTGATGATCACAAAGTTGACGATAACAGAGTTGACGATGACAAAGTTTACAATAATGGAGTTGATGAAATCAGAGTTGATAATTACAGAGATGACAGTCACCGAGTTGATGATAACAGAGTTGACGATAACAGAGTTGACATTTTTCCAGCATTTTATGTTTTAGCTCTAGATGCTAACCTCACACCAGACTCCACATGGCGTGTCCAAAACACAATGTATTTTCATCATATTATTGTTTTTAAAAAGTGAATTGACTGAAATATCACAGTAACAGAGTTTCATAATTGATTTACTGTTTGATTGCATGATTCAGAAGGCAAAAATAATTATAGTGTGTAATAAGTTAATATTTTCGAAGCAATTTACAATACACATTATTTTAGAGATGATGTGATTTAATTTGTGTTATTATTCAATCACTAGACTTTCTTTCGGAAAAAATAATATAAGATTTATCTTTGAAGATGCAGAATGTAATCTCAATTCTAGAAATGGCCCATGCTGTATATAGTCATGATGATTCTGCGTCATCTCATTGGTTTAATCAGTTGCTATTGGATAATAACATACCTTGGGATGTATTGATTGACCAATCAGAACCCAGTATTCCAGACAGCCGGGTAATAATAATTCATTATCATGTTGCATAAATACAGAATTTGGAACAATAATTATTGTGAAAAGCACTATACGAGTAAACTTGAATATATTTGAGCTGTAAGATACTAAATATGGTTTTGATAGCGTCTAGTAAGAAACTAGACAGAACTAAACTGAATAGTTAGATAAACACTGTATTGATTTAGATTTCAGGTGCATTAAATATGTATGTATTGAATTACTAATAAAGCATATGAATATATATATAGAGAGAGAGAGAGATCTAGAGTTTGAGTTCATAATTTAGCGTTTTATATTTTAAAATCAGAGATGTGTGAGACCTGTTGAGATGTTTTCAGACAACTTTTGTTCATTTATTAATTTGTGCTTTGTTGAAATAAAGTAAAATGAATAAGGCTGGAAATGTTTATATCGTCATTTTAATACTTCGCTTTTTTGGATTCTCCATGATAATTACTTTAATAACTTTTTTTACTCTATCTGAGCTTCCTTGGAGAAAAATTTACCACCATTTACTCAAATATTTTAAGAGGATGATCTCATATTCAGGCAAAATACATAATCATCT